ATTTGACCAGGCATACGCACATAGGTACCTGGGGTGTACATATCCTGCATACACAGAGTAGGACGTCCATGCACCAGGTCCTTAGATACAGGGTAGATAGACAAGCTGAGGTAGTAAGAGATAGCCGCTATGTCCGCGGATGGGGTGCGGATAATAGTTTAGCAGCACTTCGGTGGATCATTGGATCCTTTCCCACGCGTCCACGTTGAGGCACATGGTTGGTTCAGCTGCTTTCGGCCTGGCATTTGCCCGGTTTCCGAAGAGGTGTATATCTTGATGTCTCGACGTGTAGTGAAGTATTCTCTTCATGCAAGGTTGACCACCGCCATGTCTCAATACCTAGGAATGAGCTGATTTTCCAGAGTGACAGAATGAGAGAGCATCTCGCAAAGGCGCAAGGGCGCCTTAGCGTCACCACGCGTGTCACACATTCCACACACCTACATGTAACAGCAGATTCCATTCCGTTGCTCGAAACAACCTCAACGTCACGCATCTGCTAGGCACTCTGCACGGGACCGTCCATTTGTTGATAATGTCCCGACGCATTCTTTCCTCCTGCGGTCGTGCTTAAATACCACGTTCCCGGCACACCCGCAACGCAATCAAAACTCCTTCGTTCTATTCACTTCTAGGACTTACACGTACCGCCACGTCTGGGCTTTGAGGGCAACACAATCGTCTTAATGGCTCCTGCAACGAAGGCTAAGAAGCCCCGGCTCGCACCAAAACCTGGAGCAGCTCCTCAAGGGGTCAGAAAGAGGGCCGCTTCTCAAGCAGCTCGCAACCAGGTAATGTCCAACGCTCATTACCCATTCCCTCCCTTTCCTACCTTTTCCAAACGTGGGAAGTCTTTGTTTTTCCCAGGCGCCAAACGCCGAAGATAAGTAAAAGCTCCATTTCTGACGCTCTGCATCTATAAAGGCTCCCAAGGACGCCAAACCTCCGCCAGTCCCGGCTCCGACGCGGGTGCTTAGATCTAACATGAAGTCTCAACCGTCCACTGGTTTGCAGAGTGGAACCAGCGGATCCGAAGCCGAAGCCGAATCCGAATCTGAGTACGGATCGGAATTCGAATTCGAATATGAATCAGAGGCGATGCGTCAAAGGTCACGAGAAACATGGAGCGAGGCAGACCTATCCGATGGATACGCCGAGAGGGTCACTGAAGAGCGAGGGTACGCGGAGGATTTCTCAAGGATCGACTTGTACCACGCGGATTTTCCCCAGGGCCTCTTGGATCGAAACGTCGCTCTATCCGAACATATACAGGACGATCCCTTCGCTGACAAAGTTCCACGTCTCGAATCAGTTCCCGTGCTCAAGGAACAGGAGGCAGAAGACGACCCTTACGGACCCGAGTGGATTATATATCAAGCGATGATCCACGAGAATTTCGGCGAGAATCCGAACCAGTCGTTCTACCATCGGACGCTGATGGTGGACATGATAATGCGAAACCTCCTCAACTACAGTAGACGGAGCGTCGAGCCCGACTGCCTCGAGTTCCGCAACGGAAAACCATGGACTTGCCCGCCAATGCCCACTCGGGCCTTCGCCCAAGGTGGCAGGTTCCTGGCACAACCAAAGCCAGAGCTTGCGGTGTGTTTCCGCAGGGAGACCGTCATTCCTGATAGACTGTGGCATGCTTTGCCGAAAGCAACCAAGATGCTTGCCTGCTTCGAGGGCGTCAACGCGGCCGGAGCCGGGAGGATATTCCATTTCGTCGCGGCCGAGGCGACGGACGGGTTGACGTCCACCAACGACAACATCGGAAGCCTCTCGAGTCTGAACGACGCAAGCCAGGCGCTCCACAACATGTTCGAGTTCTTCCGCGATGCCGGCCACGAGGACGTGTTCTTCGCCAAGGTGCGGTTCTTCTCCATGGTCGCCGGCAACGACGGCGTCTGGGTCCGCATGCATCGCGCCGTGCGCGTACCGCCACGCAAACCCGACGACGCATGCATCATGCCGACGAGGAGGGCCGAGTACCCGCTCAAATTTGAGTTTCGAAACTGGGCGCACATCACGAGGGCCAAGCTCGAGATCGGGGCCTCGGGCTGGAAGATCATTGGGGAGGCCCTGCTTGGATATGGCGTCGGGTTGCTGCGCGGGCTGATTCACGACGCGGCGCAGGCCCTCGTCGTGAAGCTCGAGCGTGATATCGTGGGGACCAGGGCGAGGGGGGATGTTGATTTCTATCGTTATGGGCAGACCGTGGCCAATGCCAGGAGCAGCAGCATCAGCTGAATTCTAGACGGCGGGTTGAAGCCGGTCAGTCGGTCATTCAGATAGCCGCAATTCAGTGTTGTGGGAGGGAGTAATGATAATATTAATATGCTTGTTATTACTGGTGTTACCGAATACATTGCTGGGTGGCTAGCTAGCCAGCTACATTAGCTAACTTGTAGTTGAGATACCGGAATATCTTATGTAGGTGGTCGACCAGGGTTATGGGTATGTTGCTACATATGTGCGAGTTACAAGTGTGCCCATCTACATATATACGAGTGCATAGTGCGTACTGCGTGCCTGGCACCTAGCACCCAGTATACACCCAAGCACCTGATAACTCGGCACGAGCTACGAGGTACATGTGTCCCATACACACATCCCATTCTCCGTGCATAAGTAGTGCAATGCAGTGCGGAATTTGGACTAGGACTAGGACTTGGACTTGGACTTATGTACCTCGTACTCGGTACTTGCATTGGCAGAAAGGGAAGGATGGGATGGTGGTGACATGCTGCATTGATGCAATGCACTGCCGACGTCCGAAGTCGGACCTCGAACCGAACCAGCGAGTGAGCAAGTCCTCTCCCACCCCAACCAGACCAGTCTAATGCAGCCCAGTCCCCGAGGGCTGTATCACTCCTCCCTAGCCAGGTAGTCCTTGTACTTGTACTTGTACTCTGTATATACGGAATTCACCCTTAGCAGGAAACAAAGATGTTGGATCGAGAGCGAAGAGAGATTATTCAAGTAGCCTGACTAGCCACTAGCCACTAGCCAGACGAGGGCCCAGCATCAAAGAACCTAATTCAAAAGAGGCTGTGTATGTATATAGAGAGTCTGCGTGGCGATAATCGAAACTGGACTGCTAGGTTGTTACCCCTCCAAACAAGTCAATGCGACATGGAGGACTTTGCAGAACCCGCTTGAAATGCAATAACAATGGCAAATCCCTCATGACCACATGTGTCTAAGTCAGGTGTATGATTCCTTGCAAGCAATGCAGATAGGCTGAGAAAAGGGTACAGCCTCGCTTTCCCAAACAGGTGGCATTATATCTGTCCCAACTTCCTCCTCAAGTTCCTTGTCTTACGCATCAGCTTCTTGTATTTATGCTTCTTCATCTTCAGGCGCCTCTGTCTCTTGACGCTGATCGCATACATTCCTTCTCTTCGCCTGCCTGGAATAGACCCGACCTGCCTCCGGTTGCCAATGATCCTGCTTCGCCCCAGCGGGAATTGTTGTTCAATCTCTGGCAGGGCAGATGAGGCGTCGGGGTTCTCAATTTCCACCACAGGGGCGCCACGGCTGGTGAAAAAGCGTCCGTTTTGAAGCTCTGCCGAGTTTTGGGGGACGTTGATCGCCACCTGCTGGATGTAGGGGTCGGTGTGATCTTGTTCTATTTCCACTTCCAGGGCCTTTGCTTGCATTTCTTCCTCCTTTTCTGCCTGTCTCACAGATTGCTGTTCGCTTGCATTGATCTCAGCGTCACTGATGGGGCGGGGCACAGGAGGGACATTGAAAGGGCGAAACCTTCGTTGCATTTCTTGAATGACTAGTCTGATGTTCCCCCCCGCAATCTGGATGGTTTGAGGCGCACCGTCAAGATGATGCGTTCGACTCGGGTCAGCGGGACTCTCATTGCGCTGCATGAGAGATTTGATCAAGGCCGCCTTCTGCTCAGCCGTATTGTGTGAAGTCTGATCTACTTGCTTTTGAGAAATATGCTCGTCGAGGGTCTCTACTGCAGAAGCAAGAGTGTAGATAACATCTTGAGATGCATTGCGTGATCGGGATTTTGGCTTTGGTTGGAAGATTTTATCGATCGCTTCTATCGATGCCTCGGGAGGTACAGGTCCGGTAATGGACATGGGTCGATGGGTCGAGAAGAAAGAGGCAACATATACATCTAGTAACGCAATCAGCTTGGGATAATGTGGTTATCCGCGCCATGCAGACCTTTGGGGTTCAAGTGTTGCAGACTAGGGACCGCGGGTAATTTTGAAGTCCAGTCATCCTGGATTTCCTTGCTGTCTGCCCTGTCTTTGGACGACCTCTTCTTCGAAAGACGCGATTCGGCGCCCGGGCGCTTCGACTCTGATCGGGGAGCGCCAACTTGTTTCACAGAGGCTGCTGGGATTGCCGAGGAACCATTGTTTGGCGGTACGGGTGGCTTCGAAGAGGAATGCCGCCGCTGATGAGCATTAGAGGTGAAGGATGCTATCGTAGGAGTGGACGGGCGAGAGGGTACCGCCGGCGCATTGGCGCAGGAGCGCGCCACCCGGCGCAGAGAAGTATTGAACATGTGTCCCCAGCACTCAGAGAGGAGATTACAAAGGGAGGGACAAGACGTCCTGAGCACGATGGCGGGGGATGAGCGAGTCTGGAGGGTGAGCTGATAGAAGAGCAGAAGCACCCAAGATCGGAGTTGAACGTGACGGTGATTGGAATGCCAAGACGATCATTTCACGGGACATTGCCACGTGATATTGGGTTTTCCTAAGCGCTGAGGCGCTAGCCGCTGAATTCGATGTATCTGATGTATCACGTGATATATCTTCACGTGATAGGTCCCTATCCGATCGGCGCGGGAGAATTTCCGCCCATCGGATGCTGCCTTGTACTTACATACTCTTATGTTCACTAGGGATATACCCACGCTGACTTATATATAATTGACACAACCCCTTCCTTGTTTCTTGTAGAGTAGCTGCTCAACCCCCCTGCTGGTCTATTGTGAGAAGGGCCAAAGAAGACTTGTCGTCACCATGTCAAAATACGTCAAGAGGGTGTCCCTCTTCAAGGTGCCCAAAGAAGATGACATTGACGCCATTCTCGCAGAGTACCAAGTCCTGCGAAGCACCGCGCAAAAGGTGTGTATTATGTGGAGGCTGTCTCTATTTCGAGTCTCAACTTCTTCTAATCTGCGGTCCGGAAACGGTCCCCCCGATTTTTTAGGATGGGAAACCCTACATCGTCTCCAACGAGGCCTCTCGTGTCATCAACTCGTCGGAAGAGCGAAGTCAAGGGTACACCGTGATCGCAGTCACGACGTTCAGGTCACGCGAGGACGTCGACTACTACGACAAAGGGTGTGCGGCGCACAAGAAGCTGAGAGAGTTCATCTCCACGAGAAGGACCGGGGTTGCAACGGTACACTTTGAGAGCGATCTTGGGCCTTCGAAAGTCTGCTTCCTCTGGCCAGTACAATTTCTCGAGGAAATATTAAAAAAAAATCGTATTACTCTTCGAAGTTCCCTGCCCATTTTACCACCCAATTTCAGCGGCAGTGATGGATGTTTCAATGCACCGATCCTACCTCGAGGTATTCCAGGCCCTCCAAGACATCCACTTCCATTCCAAGCCCAAGCTCATATACACTCTGTACATGCACATGTCCTTCTCTCACAGGCGCAAAATATTGGGCTGGTTAAATCACAACCCTGATAGCCGCAGTCTCTTGTATCTCCGGGCTGTCTTTCCCGTCAAACAAGAATTTCTCGGGCTCTGTATTTCGCCTGCGTATAGGTCGACAATGTGCTAATTCTAACAGGTTTCCTGAGTCGCCAATGATATTTACCCTATCTCTCCCATGTATGCTAGCTCGTCCCGGTTCTGTAGGAGTAGTTCGAACCTACCCGACGGTTGACCTACCCCGTTTTTGTGGCACTTTGACCGGGGTCGCGGTCGGAATCCTTTGTCATAACGGAACCTGCCTCAACAATGGCCAGTTTGGACGTGGCAAAGCCATACGACCGAGTTCCCAAATTCCCAGAGGCTGGATCTCGCATTCTGTCAAGCATAGTCGCAAGTGTCATGATATTCGGATGATTCCGAGGCGCTCTCTGCAGCAGGATCATCATCAACATCTTCTTTAATCTCCCAGATCCGGGCCACGCCTGATAATGTACTGTCGTGCCCTTCGGAACTCTCGGCATTCATGTTCTCCCGCCCCAGGCTCTGGTCGCTTGGCTCGGAGTCATCGATGTTGAAGAGTTTTGCTTTTCCGCTGCACCTACTGTCTTCGCTATCTTGTCGAATAACGCCATCACCTCCATAGAGATCATCGCTTTCTGACTCGTTCACTCGTTGTCCAGGTGCAAAGACGCTGCTGGGGCATCCATTGGATTTTGCCTCCGGACCAGGACAGCGCCAGTCAAGTCCACCAAAGGGACATGATCCAGAAAGCAAGGTACTCTGCGGACACCAAACAGGCGGATCGTGGTAATACGGACAAGCGTCTTCCCGGCCTTTCCAGAACTCTCGAAAAGCTTTTGGCTGGTATTCGAAATTGCAAAAGCTTGTCTCGAAACATCCGTCAACATACTCGTCAATATATTGCGGCACTCGGTGGTACCCCAGGCGTATCTGGCGCACGTTGTACCCGCACGCCGATAGTGCTGCATCCCACAGGTCGGCTTGACAGGAGCCCATTTCTTTCTCGGTTGGATTTTGATAGGCATAGTCGGATGTTGAGACTCCATCCTCATTTACAGAGTGGATATCTGCACCTCTTTGGATCAATAGAATGAGGCATTGGCGGACATCATCGGCGTTTTCTACTTCCCACAAGGATTCGAGCGCGAGTCGAAGACAATTTCTCCCCTGTCCATCTCGAGCGGTGATATCGGCACCTTTAGAAAGTAGGAGGTTAAACAAAGATACGGGGTCCTTGAAGTCGGTACACTTTGAGGCAAAAGACAGTAACATTGTGCGGCCTGCACTGTCTCTGCTCTCGACATCAATGAATGGTATTGGGTTGTTCAGTACCAGCCTTAGAGCATCCTGAAAAAGATGAGTGATTGCGACTTTCATAGAAGATGAGATCACCTACATCGTCAAAAGTTAGCTCGTATCTGAAGTCTGGTACGTTTACGTAGTCGTAGACTATTGGATTAGGATCCGCTCCAGCCTCCAGAAAGAGACGAACGAACTCTGTGATGGACTCCCAAGAAAGGCCAACCTTGCGTGTCAACCACATTGGCGTCCTGAACCAAAGAAATTTAGCAGTCCCATACGTGGTGCTTACAGTATTCCACTCTTGGGTCAACTTACCTGGAATGTCCAGTTGTCTGCCTAGGATCCTCGGCCATCTCGTCAACGTCTGCTCCATGCTGAATGAGAAACTTGCACATATCGCCATGGGTCGTTGTTTTAGCTCCTGCAGCAGCGTACTTTACACTATAAGCATGAGAAGCATGCGAGTCAGTCTCTAACATCCACTCACATGTAAGAGAGGAGTCCCCCTGGGATCCCTATCTCTTAGAGACCCCTCTCCAAGTGCAAGGAGCCTCCGGAGTCCTTCAACATCGCCTCGGCTCACAATTTCAAAGATCGCAGAGCCAGTAGGTACAATTCTACCAATAGAAACCACAGGGTTCAAGGAATAAAACCCATTGTCGGACTGGATCTGGTGCATATATGCAACAAGGACGGCGGGTGATTCAGCATCCTCTATGGCAGCTTTGACGATTGCGAAGAACTCTTCCGCGTGTGGACCGGTGGTAAGTTTCCCCTGCCTGGAAGGGTCGGAGCATTTCTGGAACGCCCTTTTGTTGACAGTGATGCTTGTCTTACAACCTGGCAGGACAAGCTCGATAGTGCGATGCGTTTGAACGACTTTTCCACGCTGGGTTGCAGTGGACCGTTTTGCTTTCGTTTGGTGAGCTGTCTGATCAGGAGTTTGCGAGAAGCAGAAAGGAGAAACTCACGGGCTTGGTTTACCCCTACAGTAGCAGCCGCTGAAACAAGACCGCGCATACGTTTCATGTCACGGCGTGTGATTGTCGCAGTACGTTGATTCTCTTCCTTCATTTCCTCCCCGGTCTTGGAATCCAAATCCTCACTCTGCTTGAGCTCAAACAGCGCTGATAGAAAGTATTCCAGATCCTCAATAATGGTTTCTGCTTCCTCCTCGTAGAGCATCGTGTCTGGGTTCCGGGATTCTAGTTCGCATAACCTGGCAAGGCACTTCCTTAGGTCCGCATTCATCCCAATGGGTGTGTTGGAGGGAGCAGGTGGTGAGTTGCCCTCTTGGGTCATGGCACCAGATCGTTGAGGACCAGTTAAGTGAGCTGAATTCCCCGAAACCTGGTCTTGAAGCGCTTCCAGAAGAGTGGATATGTTTTGCAATTGCGCAGTAGTCGCTCGTGATGTCTGCCCGATGTTATGGTTGACAGTTGCAACGGTGCTCCGGACCACCTCCTCTACCGAAACTTTGATGTCTTGCACATTGTCGTTGAAAGAGGAGACTTGCAAAGCACCCGTGGTCAAGGTATCTCGGATTTCGTGGATCTGTGCTCTACAGTCCAGTGTAGCATTACTGTGATATTGTAAATGGCTGCACCATTCGGCCAGGGGGACGTTCGCTGCGCGAAATATAATCACTTACCTTTGTAGAAGATTGAGTTGCAACTGCAGCACGCCGCAGTGATAGTTCAGCTTGTGCCACATGGCAGTGAGTGACTTTTCTGCCACAGTTGCCCTGACCTTCTTCCACACTCTTTGAAGCTTGGGAGTACTCGGATCATGTTGTATCTTGTCAAGGGTCTTCTCGAAGCTCGCCATGTCTGTAGTACAAGCATCAAGCAGATGTCTGATATTGTGTAGGTTAGCATTAGGATCGGCTAATGCTCTGCAGTCGCGCAGCTGTGTCAAGATATTCTGCAAGTTTCCCACGGCGGAAACAAGAGACGCTGTGCCTTGTGTCGCGTGTCGGAGTCCAGAGATCACATTGTAGAGAGATTTTGTTCCTTCCAGAGCAATTCCTACGAAGGCCAGCACACTCGCTCCGGCACTAAGAGGCTCCATAGCGGGCAGATATGGGAAGAAGAAAGCAGTTCAAGGTGACGGAGCCGTCGCAGCGCGATTGAAAAAGAGAGCATGATTTGAGACATGTTCTGAAGGGAGATTTGAACGGGCAAACTCGCTAGGATTAGGCTGATTTCTCGATACAAGTCGACCTTCATTGGGGTCCATGGAAGACGAGGCGCAGTGGCATGCAGGATGCAGGGTTGGTTGGTTGGTTGGTTGGTAGGTTGGTAGATTTGACGCCTTGCAGGTGGTGAGTTGGAGTCTTGCGGCACGGCGCATCTGTCATGTACTCAGCCCTCGCAGCTCAATCTAACCAACAACCATCTATCCAATTGCTGCTTGTCTTTTCCTTTTCGAGGTTTGCTGTGGACATGATCTTGACGTTCGCTCTACACGTGCATCGCAAGGCTGTCTAACACTCCATTCCTTCTATATAGTTTCCTGGCGCCAGATTCGTACTTGTCTTCATTACAGGCCGATAGGAGGCGAGGATGAAGTCGGGATCCAATTGAAGACCAGCCTGGTAAACCACCGTATGGACATGCTCCAGGAAATGTCCTGAGAAGGCTGACCTGCAAGGACTGTCGCTTGCTTTCCCTGTGTCTGAATGCTCCACCTCGTCGGCCGGTCGCAAGCTTGCGAGCAAGGTGTATGTGCGTCTCGAAGGCACACCAGCAGAGTCTCTTTTCAGAGACAGTGTTGGAGAACGATTTGCGTCCGTACGTGAGCTTCAGCGTATTGAACCTGCGGTGCCTTGACGCTTTAGGGAGGCCATAAGCGTCCCACGGTTTTCCGAAGGACTGGTAGATAGTGGAAGATGATAGTCGGCATATTTGATCACCTTGTCGGGGAGGGCGTGGCGCAGCATATTGTTGGTTCTTTTGCAGATGCGCTCGTAGCCGTCCACGAGAGCATGAAGCTTGGACGGACATGTAGACGAGGCTCGTCAACATCCCTCTTTTCGTGCAGAGAAATCGCATAACAGGCAGGTAGTTTTCTACCGATACCTCTCATATGCTCTCTCGTCGTCAAGGCGCCTTTTGACTCGCGATAGGACACTGGCGTCATATAGCTCGTCTGGATCCATCTCTCCCCTCAAGACCAATTTCTCATGCCTCTGTGCCTCCTCTTTTGTCACAAGAACCAAGTCTGTCAGCGGGAGTTTAACCATCTTCTGTCCTTCTTTCTCGTACTCCTGGTCGACTTTGAAGCCTTCGGCAGGTTTCCGCCATCTGACGAGAGCAAGTCTGGTGCCCAGTCCGCTAATGACACTTTTGCCACGGAAGATCTCCTCCACAAGATAAGCAACATCTTCGCGGCTCACTGGTAGTCGGAGACCGACAACATCTTGCCCGTTGGTTGACCGGACAAGTCGTTCTTCGAGGCCCAGCAAGGTTGAGAGGATCGCGTCATACATCTTCTCCCTCCCTTTGTCGCCCATCCGGTAGTCCATCGGATATCCAGCAACGCTGCAAATGACATGGTTGGCCACAGCATATCCAAAGACGGCCGGCATCGTTCCGAGAACAGGCAAGATTCTGACACGGAATTCAGGCAGAACGCCCAGCTTGTCGACTTGACCCTTTTGGACCTCTTCGTCCGCGATGGGGAGCAACTCCGCCTTACCCTCGCCGGGCTTCTCCGTCGAAAAGACGACAGGAATCCCGCTGCTGATGCCCATGAGCCGTAGCCGCCGCCTCGTCGCTTTTGATAGAGGATCCTCAATGCTAGTCGAGATGTCTCCGACCTGTATCCTGGTTGGATCACTCTTGCACCCTGCTCCCATAGCACTGATGACCTTGATGTTTCTCATCGCACAGTATTTCAACAATTCGACCTTGGTGTCAATGTTGTCAATGGCATCGACCACCCAATCCACCTCTTTGGAGCCTTCACCGTCTCTCAGCTCGAAATCCCATTTCCCCAGCAGCCCTTCAATCGACCGTGATCCCAGCAGCTCATTGCGTTCGTCGATGCGCACCCACGGACAGATCTGCTCCAACCTTTTCCTGACACAGTTGACCTTGGGCGTCCCCACGTCTGCCAGCGTCGCAAGAGCGTGCCTGTTGAGACTGCTCAGCGTGACCTGATCAAAGTCCACCACTCGGATGCGCGAAACACCACTCCTGGCCAGCGCCGCGACACAGTGGCTTCCTACACCACCGAGTCCCACGACGATCACAAACGCAGTCCGCAGCTTCGCGAGGCCCTCGTCTTTCAAAAACACTCTGTTCCGTGCCAATTGCTCGAGTATCAACTCCTCATCGTAGTCTCCCTTCCTGGCCCTCGCTGCTATCTGCGCTGCACGAGTATCTTCCTTGTCTGTCATCGTGGGACGGCTGGCTCCCCCATATTCCGTGAGCTGCATGGCATGGTGCTCGCGCGAAATCTCGGGAATGGAGGCTTTGAGCTCTTCGGTTGCTCGACGGCGGTGGATCGCGGTGGTGGTAAAGATCACCGTGGTAGCTGCAACTGCACCCAGCGTTGCAGCAAGGCCAATCTGGAAGGCTGTCGCGGAGGTATGCCTTTGGATCCATTGCGACATTTTGGACGTAGGGTGTGATAGAGACACGACAGATATTTAGCGTAGGTATATTGTGCAACGAGATGGGGGCATTATAGCATTTTGTACGTATAAGATCACGAATACACCAAGTCGCATCCTATCACGATCACTGCGCGACACATGTGCTATGAGTAGATCTGCGGATGCTTGAGCAACAGCTCTTGTACAGTACCTTTGAAAGTCTGGTAAATGCCCTCGAAAGTGTTTCCCCCACAATTTTTTTTCCCAATCATGCGATCTCCGCATCGAGTTCCGCAAACTTGCAGTCTCCCAAACCTTCACAGATCACTATAATATCTAAACGCTTTGTCAACTCAACTTGAGTCCCCTTTGTTTTGTGACGCCACATCTGACCCAAATCTGGTTCCTCTGAAGCACACCAAATCCTCGGCATCTCCACGAACGAGTGTTCGCGTCTACAACTCGATCCTGCGCGCATCAGCGCATTCCTCGTGGTGCCTACCACTACACAACTTCCGTTGGACAACGAAATCATCACAAGGGCTGCTGGCTCAAATTTCCAGCCATGGCACGCAATTCAGAAAAGGCGCAGTCCATGCTCTTCCGGTTCCGCGCCGCACAGGCTGCCGAATCTGGTCTCCTCCCGTCTGCCAGCCTACGCCGACCAAAGGCACCTTCTACCGTTGATACGGTGCCCTTGTGCGAAAAGTGGCGCGGCCAAATCCTCAGGGAAATTTCGCGCAAAGTGACAAAAATACAAGACGAATCTCTGTCCGACTTCCAGATTAGGGATTTAAACGATGAGATCAACAAGTTGATGAAAGAGAAGTGGGGTTGGGAACGGCGCATACGGGAGCTTGGGGGACCAAATTATATGCGAGGGGGAGGCACAGTCTTTGACGACCAGGGGCGAGAGGTTTCCGGGGGAGGGAAAGGGTACAGATACTTCGGAAGGGCGAGAGAGCTACCTGGTGTGAAGGAGATGTTTGAGCGGGCGGCTAAGAGGAGAGCCCACGGTGACGAGGAAGAAGAAGCAGCCAAGAAACCCCAGCTGGACATCAATCGGAGGAACCTCGACGCCAGATATTTCGGGTTTGGGCCTGACGAGGAGAATCCAACGCTTTTGAAATATGAGAGGAAGAAAGAAAAGGAGGCTGTTGAGAGGGTGGCGAAGTTGGCTGGCGCAGAAGGCGAGGATTCAGATTGGGAGCCACTACCTGGCGACGCCGGCGATGGTGTGAGATGGCGCCTGCCTACCCTGGAAGAAGTTCAAGAAGAATTGGTGGATCGACGACGCCGGCAATTGCTTGACAGGCTTGGTTGATATCACGAATGTCGTTGAGAGCAGTTCGCGACCTGAGCTGTCTATTTCCAGGCATAACCTCGGTCTCGGGTTGGAGCCCTGAGCATGAATGAATCATGCTTCCAGATCGGTATTCTGTCATACCACAGCCCTGCTATGCCTCCTCCTTTGTCCCACGAACCTCAGACAATATGTTTCTTCTCCCCGCGATCCTCTGTTCGAGCAACTCAGATGGGTTGGGGACGCCGCCCGAAATCCTCACTGCCATCTTGGCTTCTGTCGAAAAGTCTCTCCTCGACACTTTACAACTCTCCATGGATCGGAAACATGCGCCCAACAGATCGGCTACCTCTTGGTCTCGACTCAGTCAACAATAGATGTGCTGAAAGGCCACATCCCCATTCCCGCTGTTTCTCTTGACTCCAATGTTCACCTCTGAACTGTAAAACACATTGTTCTTCTCCGAGACAAGCTGCATGTTTGCTGGGATCAGTTGTGTACCACTTTTGCCAGCATCTATCGCCGAGTTGGCTTGAGTGTTGAAGATGATCTTGACGTCTCGAGTTCCTGTGCCTGAGGTGCTGAAGCCTGTGCAAGCGAAGATGACGTCTACATCTTTGTCACCTTTTGGGCCGCCGATATAACCCAAGACGTTCTGACAGAATTTGCTAAGGTAGAATGGGTCCGGTGCAGTCTGAATATTGATGTTGGCCTCATAAATTCCACCACAGACCGGGTTCACTATGTCGGGATCGATGTTGAGGGACAAGGTGTCTGAGGTGGATGTGACGTTTCGCGTGTTAAAAGTCTGTGGCCGGCGATTGATGGGATAGCGATTACTGGACGGACGAGGCACAGATGCTGCGCTGGTGAAGCTGAGCAAGATCAGCAGAAGGACGCAAAGCCGCATGGTGGGAGGATCTCTGGATCTTTGTCTCAAAGCCAGCAACAATGCACAAAGCTCACACGGGGTGACTCGGGAATCGTTGGGGCCAAAGAAGGGATGTTTGAGGTTGTTTGACAGCGTTGCAAGGCCGAGATGGAACTGGGAGAGTAGGATGTTCGTTCTTTATATGACTAGGAAGATGATCCCAGCGACCGCAGCTGAAGTCAAGCCAAGACCACCATGATGCGCAGTTCTAAAGCCGCATCAATTGTACCCATTCCTCCCTTTTTTCCGACATCTACGAGGTACCAACTGATTGTCGTCTTGTTTCTGAACCGTCTGTTGTGGCAATCCCCCGAACTCCCAGTCATTGGTTTCTTGGACGTGGTGTGGTCATACAAAGGGATGCAATGGCTCTTCCTGACCTTGTTGGCCGGGCACCAGCACCTTCAGCTACCGCGCATCGTTGGATGGTGATATCTTGTATCTTCCTGCAGTCAATATAGCCAGAATTGGAGTGGAAATTACCTGATGCTGCACAGCGTACGCAACGTTGCTCGTATCCATGTTTGCTCCTCTGCTGGGTCGCCGTTGATTCGACGACCTTGTCTGGGATCCTGTACGCTGCATCGTGCAACCACGCAGGTAGCCTTTGGTGATCCATTCAGCTCGTGATGATATGCAGGTATCCATGCACCGGTGTGTAGACACGCAGGAGGAGTTTCCAGGACAAATACCAATCCATCTACCATACAGAGCGTTCTATCCCCCTCTTGCGGAGGTGAGCCTCGCGCGTCTAGGATCCCTCAAAGTTTGCTTTTTCTGTCCCCAAATCCACGCGCCACAATCATCCAGAGGAAACGACACTCTTGAGTAAGGCGCAGTGACATGGCATTGGATCTTGGTAGGGAATTGCGCTTCATGGGTCCGCGCAGACGTGGAAATTTCACGCCTCCATCATATGCTTCGCTAGATGTAGTAGCCCTGACCGTGTCAAGGACGAGGCGAGGATAGAAGGACATTTGGTTCCGGAGGCATTGAAGGAACTTGGTCTAATTCGGCATGATGTTTTTCCCGGTCCGACTCCTTTTTCATCAGCCTCAACGCGCCTCCTCCCCCCTCAGATTCAAGAACCAAGACATGTCAAACGCGCCCGGACAGTGTCCCAAGGTCTAACCTTTGGTTCTCCCACGATGCTCTCATCTCGCAAACACATGGCCCCCGTCTCCTGCCGTGGCCATGTTACTTCCGCCGCGATCCTACCGCCGTTCTCCTCTCCAACGCCGTGCTCTGCGGCTTCTCCTCTACGTCCTGTTCACATTCTTTGTCTTTGACCTGCTCACGATTCTAAAACACCACCGCGAGTTCACCCGTAACCTCCTCGACCATGTATACACATCCCCAGCGCTTCTGCCGACGCCGCTACAGAATCAAAAGATCTTCATCGTCGCCCAGTTCTGGACCAATGCACATGTCATCTCCGAGCGATGGGGTCAGGCTCTTCTCGATCTGGTAGGAGTGTTGGGAAAGGAGAATGTATACGTGAGCATCTACGAGTCGGGGAGCCTGGACAACACAAAGGAAGTTCTGAAAATGCTGGATGATGTGCTGGCGCAGAACAACATTCCTCACCAAACGGTCTTGGATCCAACTACGCACGAAGATGAAATTAACGCTGGTCCGCTCGATGATCTGGGTGTCCCTCGGCAGGGCTGGATTCAGACCACGAGTGTGGGAACGCAATGGGGTAAAGAGATGCGAAGAATTCCATACCTGGCTCGGTTACGGAACCTATCTCTGAAGCCTCTCTTCAGGCTCCGCGACGAGCAAGGGCAAAAGTACGATAGGATCCTTTTCCTCAATGATGTCGTGTTCCGCCCACAGGACGTCCTTACACTCTTGGCCACGAACCAAGGTTCCTTCTCTTCCGCATGTGCCCTTGACTTCCATTTGTCACCAGCCTATTACGATACCTTCGTTCTAAGGGATAATGAAAGATTGGCCACAGTCCAGTCTATATTTCCCTATTTCCGTTCTCCGGAGTCGCGTGAGTCAATGCTCAAGGGTCTCCCAACCAAAGTCTCAGCATGCTGGAATGGGATGATCGCGATGGACAGCACACCTTTCTACGATGGACTTCAGTTTCGTGCACTGAGCGATAGTCTTGCCAGCAAGCATCTTGAAGCCAGTGAATGCTGTCTCATCCACACAGACATGAACCTCACTTCTCCCGGTTCCGCCGATCGGATATACGTCAACCCGTCGGTACGTGTTGGATACACCGTGGAAGCCTACAACGCCACGCACTTTGGACCTGACGAGAACTTTGTTTCCGCAACGCAATACGTCGTTGGGGTGTGGACAAATCGTGTTAGGAGAAACATTTTGCCACGCGAGACCAAGACTATGAAGGAAGTCAAAAAGAAAATGGAAAGGTGGGTCAAAGAAGGGGAGAATTCACTGGAGGATAGAAAGGAGACTGGGGAGCTTTGTATCATCGATGAACAGCATATCCTGATTTGGAATGGGTGGAAGCACGTATAACCCGTTGTCTGCGAAGCTGGCATTCTCTTCGACCTATGTTTATTGGAGGAGCAGGGTCTTGTGTCTTGACGTTGACATTGGCATTGGAACGGCAATCTAGAAGATTGGAGCATGGGTATGGCACTATGGTACATCTTGGATAGAAAAGTAAATGCTTTGAGTGAACTGGTGATAACATGATTTGGGATTCTATTTGCAGGAGACCATTGATCACAGAAAGAACCAGTGCTGTCGGACAAGATACCGGTGTGTATTTAGGAAGACCACGAGCATTGGCTTGGGAGATCATTTTTCTTCAAGGCTCACGAAGTTCCTCCGACCGTTAGATTTATCCCCTCGTCAGCTGCCATGTCATGCCAATGAGAGCTCTTGTCACGGTGTCCACAAGGATTCGATACAAATATTCCAGGAGACACGGGCACAACTCGTGGCATGGCAATTCATCACCTGGAAAATCCGCTTCAAAAGCCCAGCGGCCTCAAATCCAATGTTGAGGCAGGCATATGCTCAAACTGGTAGATGATGTCTCGGACCTCTGTGAAAGGTCAACACGCCTTCTTCAGGCAAGGGTTGTTGTTTCAGCATCATGGGATGAGTGATCCAGTCCAAGTTGTGGCCCTTTCTTTGAGGAGCCCGGGTCGATTGTTTCTGGGTTGCCCACGTTACGCAGGGGGACGGTACGCCGGGGTGTTCAAAAGGCGCGAACGCATCTGTTCCGAGGAGCGTAGAGAACCTTCCTGCGGTGATCGGAGCCCTGGGAGAACATGGATCTTTTGTTTCCACGAGACATCTACCTCGGTGCGTCGTCCAAACCAGAATCCCGTCAATAGCGACGAGGTTTTTGAGTCAGACCTGTCTCAAGGATGCTCATCCCTCCGAGGCACCGCTGGCAGCTTGCTCTTCTTCCTCGTCAATTAGGTATTGATCTTGGGAATCCTCGTTCGACGGAGCTGGCGCCTCAGCGGCAACTTTGGCAGCCGCCTCTGAACTAGGATGCGCTAATGGCGAAACCCAGGCTGACCCTCGAACGGCTGTCGTGGCATCTCCTCCTGTGCCTTTCTGAATCCAGACTTCCCATTTCTCCCAAGTCGCTCCGAATGCAGTCCTGAATTTCGTCCCTTGTGGTTGAATGTCATGCACCTTCTTGCAGGCAATCGTGATCTGTTCGTTCACAAAAAGCGGAAGGAGATTTTTGTACTGAAATGTCCGAATGGCCAAGGTGTACGGTTTCCCAACCGTGTGAAGAGCGAGAGCTTCACCGAGGATATCCAACATGAGGACAGAAGTCAAGGGGCCATGTACAATGAGTTTTGGAAGACCGTAAACCTGTCGGGTGTAGTCTGCATCAAGATGTATGGCGTGGGCGTTTCTAGACAGGGCGCTGAATCTGAAGAGTAGCGTTGGTGAAGGGATCATACTTTGCGAGTATACCGGGTTAGAGGGGGGCTTGAGTATACGCGGTGGAGCGGTCGATTTTAGACCATCTGGGATTTCCCGCATGAAGCAGAGGTATTTCTCCTCTTTAAGCACGATATTGTCCCTTCGATTCGTGGCGCGGAGACCTCCCAGTCTTCTACGCACAGGTTTCCCCTGGGCATCTACCATGGCGGGAAAGAGTGTCCTTGTTAACGTGACAAATACTTTCGCGTTCTCACTGGTAAGGTCGCCAACGAGTCGGGTGTCTGTAATTCTCTCCTTGACAGCGACGAATTTCGGCCGGGCAGTCCAAATGCTGGGAATCTGAAACTCCATATAGCCTCCGGCCCATACTCGATATTTCCATTCGTCACTGGGAGCATGGCGCTTTTCAGCACCGTCATGGCCTAGCTCATGCTCATAAGGTAGGCTGTTGAATGACACTTGATGATAGCCTGGGGGAACACTATTTGGTGGTCGGAGATCTGAAAGCGAAAGGTGGCTCTGCAGGGTTTTCCGCAGAGCGCGGATATTGAATCCATCCCAGGGGCCTTCATCAGTTGGCATGTGGCGGGTTTTCATGGATTCGAGCTGTTGAGCGAAGTCGGGAGCAGGTTCTTCCATAGACCCGGCAGCGACATGTTGCCAGCGAGTCCATATTATTCCTTGTTTGGGGATGGATCGTGGCCTAGAGGTCGACTTTGTGCGAGCGAGAGAAGACAATAACGAACATGTCCAAGACATGGGAGATTGACAAGTGGCCTACGAGGCCATCATATGGAACTTGGGACAGATCCAACTGATTGACGAGAAAAGAAACGAGTCTATTGGCACTTAGCGAGTTCAGTGACTTTGTTCACGTGATCTCGTGTCGCCATGAGTTGACCAAGACGCGTCTCCCAATGACTTGTGGCCCCTCTCATTCATGAACAGGGCGCACGACTTCTCTGACCTTTGATAATCTCAGAACTCAAACATGTCTTCTCGAAAACAAACCTTGAAAGAGACGCAAGCCTCGCAGACCCCTTCGCGATATGCGCCGTCCACACCTCATGCGCTCCGCGCCCTTCAACAACGAAGCGGAGCCAAGACGCGCTCAGTTCGCAGGAGGAGGGCATTCAGCGAGACGGTGCGACCAGACTCGGCGAGAGGTATCTTGAGACAGCTGGCTAAAATTACTGCACCCGCCAGTAAAAGAGTAATACCTACACCTGGAACTGTGAGGGGAAAAGAAAACAGAGCGCCATGGGTTGAAAGCCCGCTGAATGAGGGGGATGTCGCGCAGAATGCCAAAAGACCACGTCTGGCTCTGGATATTGACGAAAGTCTGGAGAGCATTGAAATGCCTCAACCAACCGAGGACGATGACGAGGACAGCGAACTCCCAGCCGCTCCTACACCTTCAATTCTGCCAGATGATGACGGCAAGCTATACAATCTGGATCCAACATTTACATTCCGGTCTCTAGATTACGGGAGACAAATACATTCGCCTGAACCCAGCCGCCGTATGTCTAGACGTTCCTTTCCTGCGTCAGATCCTGTCGGACAGGCCAGCTTTAATGGCGGAGACGAGGAATCTACGTTCCTATCCGAGAGAGGCAGAAGGGCGGAAACAGTCGAACCAACAGAAAATCTGTCACGTTACGACTTTGGGATGATCGACATGGATGGTTTCCATTCGGAGCTGGAAATCAGAAGAGAGTCGCTTTTTCAGGGCTTTCCAGAGAGTCTGGAGAAAACCAAAAATGATTTTTACACACCTCTTCGGGATGAGGGAGGGGAAACTGAGGCCTTGAAGGGCCTCGAGGATCTTCAGAGATCCTCATCCATAGCCGCACCTGACGAGAGCAATTTACATATCCCGACCTTTGACGATACGGACTTCCAACTGCCGGTTCCGGAAATGGAAACAACTTCAAAATATGCTCAGCGCGCTGGGGAAGCAAGACTTGTCGAAGCGTCACCATCAGGACACGATGGCCATCAACGAAAAGAAAGTCCCGAGCCAGAAGCGGATCCAGAAGCGGACCTTGAACATGGAGCTCCTCTTGATGGCTCTGTTAGGGAAGAGGCCCCACGGCCAGCACCTCAACATGCCCGTCGGAAGAAATTAAAGTTGACTCGACAAGGGGAAATGGTACCGTCCTTGCCCAGAAGCCTGATTAGACGGGCAGCCATTGAAGCACAAGCCCGGCTCGGCAATCGCCGGCCTAAACTTGGAAGGGACCACATGCAAGCTCTTGAACAGGCGACCGAATGGTATTTCGAGCAAGTCGGCGAAGACCTGGGAGCTTACTCAACCCACGCGCGGCGGAAACGTATCGATCAGAGTGACGTCCTAATGCTCATGCGTAGGCAACGGTTGCTCCAAGTTGATGGAGAGCTTGTGAAAGCTGCGAAAGAGTTGCTTCCCAAGGACATCGCTGCTGGCTTAAATCTCGATGAATTAGCGGATCAATGATCGCCGTTGGAAATGCTACCAGTTGGTGACATGGCGGACTCGTCGAGCTCTGTCAACCGGTTTCTTCTTCAACAGCATCCACATCATGAGCGTTGTGGCGGCGGATAATGAGTACCTGACGGATTAATGAGATACGATTTGTTGCAAACCAAGCGTAGACACTCACCATGTAAAAATATACTGCAAATGATTGTTCCTCAGATTGACTTCTGGGGCTCTCCCGATCGGAATCCCTCTCGCTTCTCGAGAATAGCTAACCAATAAGTCGGGAGTCATGGTCTCTTCGATCCAGACAGGGTCCGCGCCCACAACCTCTGCCATTTCGTGAACGTCGGGGAAATAGAATTTGCCATTCTCGGGCTGGTTCTTTGGCGTGAAGAAGTTCTTCTTCCAAGGCTCTCTGAGCAGTCCCGAAACGGTGATCTCGCCTCTGGGCAAGCTTTCCGGATCTCTGTCGACCTGATATTTCTTCTCTTTGCTGATCCAACCCCTGTTGACCAAGATAGTACTCCCACCTTCTCGTTCTAGAGGGGTGACCACCATGAAACCATCCTTCCCGTCCTGCGTCCTCGGCCCGATGAGCATCTCTTTATCATGTCTGAATCTCCCCGTGGCATACACTCTTCTGTAATCAAACTCATGGATAGCTTCGGGGTCGATCCTCGGCGGTAGGGGTAGTGGTGGGCGCACGAGACGATCTTCGTATCTTGCGACGAGCTTGGTCTTCCAATCCAACCGTTGGATTTGCCAGGTGCCGAGTACAAAAGCAGTGATTGGGATAAGCGAGAGTATGGCAATACCGATTTTGCTGTGTTTTTGACCGGTGCGCACCAGACGTGGAGGTGCATCAACGATTGAGACAAAGTCCTCATTGTGATTTGGTGGTGTTGGGGGCTTCTCGGTCGCAAGACGACGAGATTGGGGTTTGATGAACGGACGAGAAGGACCCCCAGTGCGCGAAAGAAGTGACCGGAGGAGCTTCAAGTCATACTTGGCCATGTCTTCTCCTCAAATGAAAGCTGTATGTGAGAAGGACAGTTGAGAGTAGAGTCACAAAATAATTCTCGGAGGTGCTCCGCGTGCCGAATGACGTCTCGTAAGATCCTCGCATCACCTCCGCTTGCACACGAAATTCGGTATCAGTAGATTCGCAATCGACGCAAGACATCGGCCATTGCGTTCCACTCTACCTTCAAGATGTTCTATAACGGAGATTTGTCGAGTGCTATATCAACAGCGCTTCACGAACGAAAGGCTGTCCTGTGCTTTGTATCTGGTAAGCTGTCCGCTGGTGCAGCCGGCAGTCTTGTTAACCGCGCTCAGATACCAGCACAGAAGCCAGCAGGGAATGGGAAACTGTCTTGAGGGATCCCTCGGTAATGCATTTCCCTCATGTCTTTGGTTCGAAATCATAAACGCTCTAGAGTAGATATCGCCAGCCGTTTCCTCACAAACTGTGGCAGTATTACTCAACGAGGGCTCTGAAGAAGCGGGCTTTCTGAATTCGATCTGCCCGATCCACAGCACGCCCGCAATCATTGTGATAAAGTAGGAGACGGCCGAGAGACTGCAGCCCGTATGTTGACAAGGGTAGGGATGCGCGAGTACAAGAAAACCTTCAGTCCGCAGAGGTGTCGACCGAGCAGTTAAAGACTCGCCTCGCCTCTGCATTTGGACAAGATGGAGGAACATCGTCCTTCCAGGACCCCCGGTATGCATCTATGATATCGCAGACAGACTGTTGCCCCGGCTGAACCGTCATAGGACACATCAATCCAAACCACAAGACGAATCTAGCGACGCCCATCAAACAGAGCCCACGTCTGGGGACCTGAACAGTGTGCAGGAGGGCTCTGGTCCGGCACAACGCAGTACCTCTACTGAATCACATCACCCTACACAGACAAGTCCACCGGTAACGCCGTCAGTGCCTGTACCTGCGGGAGAACAGGTTTACCCTACACAGCACCGTCCGATTCCGTCACCTCTCTCCTCATCAGTGCCTCGAGGACACGCCATACCTACGGATCCCTCTCCAGTCTCAGCCCAAGCCCTACCATCGTCAGGCTCCAGTGCGGAGAGTGACAAACAAAAAGCGCAAAGGGCAGATTACATCAAAATGCAACGAGAGCGCGAACAAAAACAACGCGAGGAACGTGAAAGGATCAAAGCACAGATTAAAGCAGACCGGGAGGAGAGGCGGATGTTGGATGAAATGAGGAAGCAAGGTCAATCGCCAGAGGCCCTAGGTTCTTCAACTGCCTCTTCGCATGCTAAATCAAAGACGTCAATATCAAACGCTCGAGGGGATGTGAGGGTTCAAGTCCGCACATTCGACGGTTCGACCTTGCGCAATACATTCCCTTCAAGCGCAACCATCACAAAAGAGATCCGTCCCTGGATTGACTCGGCCAGCTCGACCGCTTCACCCGCCAGGACAAGTGGCGTGCCATATAATCTCAAACTCATCCTGACACCCCTTCCGAACCGCACAATCGAAGCGGGGGAAGAAGACACTGAACTCTCCGACCTGGGTATCACGGGGAGCTGCACCTTCGTCATGGTCCCGGTGCAAGGGTATGTTGACTCGTACGCGTCCGGCGGCTTGGCTCTGGGAGGCGGGCTACTCGGGGGTGTTGTGAGTGGAGGGTACAACCTCGTCAGTGGAACGGCAGGGATGGTCTTTGGTGGTGTACGGTCACTGCTTGGGTATGGATCGGGCGATGCGGAACAGACGACGCCTACGGGCAGCGGACGTGGGAACGCAGATCAGCCTCCTGGTGCTGGTGCTGGTGCTGGTTCTGCGGCGGGGAATAACGTCCGGATTCGCACACTCGCTGACCAGCGCGCCGCAGATGCCGCAGGAAAGAGGAACCAGCAGTTTTACAACGGGAACCAGCTGAATTTCCAGCCCAACGACGAGGACCAGAAGAAAGATTGAAATTCTGGGAGCGCTGGGAAATTCTGTATAAGTCATGTTCGTCCAAACCCAAAGCTGGCCGGGCCGGGCATGTCTCTCTGGGGGGCTTTCTTGGACAATAGCTGTCACAGACCAGTAAGGACGGGAACGATTCATTCATATTGCTTTGACTCCAAACAGGACATACTTCATATCTGTACCTCATAGGTCGTGCTTATGAAGAGGTAGCTGGCTGCAATGTACCACCAGGAATGGTGTGAGTTTTAAAAGTACAAGTACAAGTACAAGTACAAGTACAGCTAGGTGCATACATATGTGTATGCGTGTTCACATTGAGATCGAGCGATTGAGCCATTGCAAAATTCAGAATGGGCGAATGGCAGAATGGCAGATTGAAAAAATACCGTCCTATCCCATCCCATCCCTTCCTATCCAGGGGGCAGCTGAGGAGAGATGGATAGATCCACGTTTGAACTTGTCGTAGTGTCCATGACGGAAGAATACAAAGTCGATTGAGTATACCTGCGGGCAGCCCCGGAGAGCGCGCTTGTTGGGACGCCAGGATTCGTCGACGACACCAAGCTTGCGTTGAAGGTCGAGCTGTTATTCTGCACTGTCTCGGTCGATGTGAATGGTTCCGTCACGGTAATCGTCGCCGCCGGCAAATTAGTCGGCATAGAAAGTGTCTCGTAGACCATCACTGTCTTCACCGCAGGCGGAGATTCTGCTGAGGTCGCTCTCGAAATCGTTGGAGACTGACTACTTGGAGGACGGATGTGCGAGATACACCATGACATTGTGGAATTCGTCCATGTTGGCCACGTCCTGCTCGGTCGGGGAACACTGTTTGTCCACACCAGCCTCGTAGAATTCGCTGGGGTAGCAGTCGGGTGGAGAACCGTAGTAACCGTCGTCACGTACAATGTGGTCCTAGCCCCGGTTGTGAGCGTAGTGGTTGTCGTTTGAGAGGCAAATGAATCGGCGGCAGCTGCGGATGTCGCGATTGAAATGGCGCTCGAGGGAAGAGGTGCAATGGTCGTAGAGCCAGTCGAGCTCAAAGTGTCTGATCCGTGGATGACAAAGGCGGAACTTGTAGTATCTCCCCACGGTTCCCCTGTGACTGTCACCAAAGGCTCCGAGCTTGAAGCCGAAGGGATCGGGTACAACGTGAGAACGACACCGGCGGTCTCAGTCTCAGTCTTATCACCAGCCAAAAACCCGTGGACTCCGTTAGCTGCAGACAAAACCGAGGGTAATTCATCCCCTCCAAAGGCGACGGTTGACCGAACCGGAGCCACAAAAGAAGCGGAAGAGACAGCGTTCTGGTCTGTCGCCGTCAAAACCCTTGAAGCGGTCAAGGCTGAAGCAAGTACCACCCCCGATGGACCCAATTCCAACGTGTGAGGGTCTGATCTGGCCCATGGTTCGTTCGCTGTCCAGGGCGTCACGGAAACGACCCGAGGTGCCTTCTGATCCCGACCGTCCAGCTCAAATGCACAAGATTGGCAGCTGGAGAGCAGCAGAGGCAGAGGCAGTCCCCAAAGGACGACTTTGGAGTACAGCCTCGCAGTATTTCGACACCAACCCGATCCGAGCAATTTCCCAGGAATAAATACTTAAGTGGCTTGAATTGGTTGGGAGCGTACAATCTCGAGCGCAAAAGGTTGGCGTTGCAGCTGTGGTGGAAGATGCCCGGCTGACGTTTCATGAGCACGATTCTATACAAACGACGTGTGTATTTATACGATGAGCTTCCACTGGAGACTGCTGTATGCTGTCGTGGTCAGTCTTTCCTGATTATGATCCGATACCAACAAAAAGAAAGATACCACAAGGCAGAGAGGGCTCAGAAAAAGGACATCCTTCATGGCTAGTCTCTATGCAGTACCAACAAATAGGCAGTGTATGTGCCGATGGCCGGTGATGAACAAACCGGTCTTTAGGTCATGGGTGTTGGCCCATGATACTGATCTCAGATTTGTTGCCGCAGATGTCACGATGTTTGTGAAAGAGGTCGATCTGACTGTTGAACAGTTGTGTTATTGAGCTGTACCTTGTATGCCTGAGCGAAGCCATGTTGTCACTCTGCCACAGATAGGGGCATGAGATTCTCCTCCAACCTTGTCAGCCGCACTTTGCGCAGAATCAAGGGCTTCATATGAATAGTAGAAGCACGAGACAAAGTGTTCCCAGGACTGCGGACCAACTGGCCAGGTCCATTGGGTTTCCCCCATTCTGATAAACAACCACGGTTCCCGGGCTCCCACCGCTTCCACCATCGCCAGACTGTCCACAACCTGGAGGTCCTCCTTGATAAGGGTCGCCGGGTGGTCCCCAGGTGTAGTAATATCCTGTCCACTGAGCACAATCCACCCGAAACCCTTGGTCATTCCAACAACATTGTCGCTTTTCGAGAGGGTTGGCCGATAACGGCGCAATCGTTATCAGAGCTGATAGTTGTACCTGGGATCTGGTCGGAGTGATAGTTGAAGTAGCGGTCCAAAATGTCGTCGGGACCATTGATGTAACAGATTCGGTAGATGTTGTCGTCGTCGGCACCAGTAGTTCTTCGGTTTGTCGAGGTAGTGGCGTGACAGCGAAACTGAATGCCGTTTGGACGAACAGAAGCAATATGAACAGTTGCATTTTGAATGTTTTCAGAGTGCTGCGACGTGCAGAAGAGCAAGGGAGAAGCTCGATCTTGAGGTTAAGAAGCAGAAGCAAAGACAGAGAGAGCTCTGCCAGTCAAGCTCTCTACTTCTGCAAAGTTTAACATGCATGGTCCGTGACATTGCTGTGAATCTGATTTGTGTGACCCAAGAACTTCCTCGGGCATCAATTGAAAATCAGACCATTCAATAAAGTTTCCTGTTCCTGGTACCTGGTGCGTGCTGGTGCTGCGTGGCTAATGTCGGTGAGCATCAGAGGCCAAGCGTGGCCGCGTCTGATTGGCTGCCTTGTTGCAAGCATTGGAGCCCACACAAAGCTGCACCCAACAGACCCATTGATGCCCTTGCATTGGTCGAGATGAGGTGACCAGAAGTTGGGGGAAGCAAGGAGTGTGATATGCTGCCGTCCAGAATGTAGCCCCTCTCTATCAGTCTCGCATGAACCGTTGGAAAGTGCCGGTCCCAAGGACTGATACGGGGTGCTGCGAGCTCCTGTACAGACAGATGCTTTTGCTGTGCCGAACGGCGTAGTCTCGCATATCGACCCGTAGATCTGGGCACTCGCTTCTGAGGCCATCCTAGCTCTCTGGATAGTGTCCGTCAAGTCAACAACATGTCTCTTTGTCTCTCAATCATTGCCCTGGGTCTGAGGCACGACATCTGCGACCAGCGAATCACCCAGAATCTCCAACGTCCTTTTGTATATCCGGGACAACCCGAGCGATATAGACATGTTCTGCGGTTGCTCATCGTCTTCCTCTGCGTCCTTGTCATCGTCTTCCGTCTCCGTCTCCGAGAGATCGTGAATCCGAGCGTCGTGACCACTGCCCGACGCGGCATTCACGGCGGCAACACGGGTCTCCTCGATGAGCGACTTGATGCGTACTTTTTCCGTCATGGAGACCTGGTAGGGTATGGTGGCCGAGCCCGTGTTATTCTCCGGGGGTTGCAGCAGGGTCGCAAACCCCTGATCAATCTTGCTCGTGAGAGAAAACACCGAGGTCGAGAAGGGAAAGGCCTCGAGATAGTTGCACGCCAATCCCGCGAGAGACAGCAGGTAGGGGATCTGGATGGTCGGGGTGCCGCTTACCCAGACAACGTCCACCAGAGGATCGACGTCGGCCACAAACTCGTCGTAGGTCGTGTAGCCCGGCGTGTCGTCTCTCTCGAGCCCCTCGTGGCTGAATTTTTTGGCATATCGCCGTGTGATCTTCAAGATGCGGTCGTCCAAGTAGTTTATGAGGGCGATCTCCTTCTGCGACCCCGGCTGCAGACGGTGCGAACGCGGGGTTGGGAGAGAAGACGTCCGGTTCCCCAGCGAGGCGGTGCTCGGCGCAGGAGAGGCTGCGGAGGTAGGAGGGGTCGGGAAGGAATGATTCTGCGGATGATCCATTCTTCTCGGGGAAGATAGGGTCGTCATGATATGATTTCTGAGTAAGTGAGATTGCTGGCTTTCAAGGTGACTTTGGTCTCGTGATGAACTGGATATGGGAAGCCATTTGCTTTTTTTTGAGAGAGATCAAAATCCCTCTCCTCAATGGCAAACGGTCTCACTCATGAGTTATATACTCATCCAGACACATAGAAACAAGGCAAATAAGGGCAATGGTAAAGTCTATCCAACGGCAGATAGTCAGACCACCCGCGAAGTCTGAAGACCTTCGTTGACCTCGTGGACCTCGTCGTCATTTGCATCCTCGGTGCGTTTCAAATGACACGATGAATATTATTTGACGCAGTTGGTGACGGCAAATACCGCCGACTTTCCCTGTGCCTGGGCCGCCTGGGTTCCGCAGACACAAGATCAGATTGAACTACTCCTCCTCTCACCAAAGCCCTGCGTTGTTGAATCTTACTACATGCGTCCACAGAAGATCCAGAGCCTCTCACGATGAGATCATATACAGCACAGTGTGACAACAAACCGTTCATGCGGTTGGCTGTGACAGGGAACCTCTGTGCCTCTCTACCAACATTGGCCCGAAACACCGAAGTTCCACGATGGTAACCTCTGTCGAGCCATCTAACAGGGGGTCAGGGGAGTTACTCATTGTGACCTCGGCGGGTTAGGGAGAAGCTGTCTGTTGTTATTAGGCTATATGTCCCCTATGTTTGCCAGAGTCTCCCCCTCTCAACGCTTTACTGCGGTGTAGGTAAACTAGCCAGAAGAGAAGGACATAAACCTTGTTCCCCATATTGTCCTTTGGGTGATTATTTCACGAAGGACAAGATGGCATCTGAGCACAGCAGCGGCACGGCAACCAAAGATATCGTAGACTCCCACATCCACCTCTACGCGGCGTCCCATATCCCGTCACTGAACTGGACCGGTGACCTCGCGGCAGACCATCCACTGAACAGACAAAACTCCCTTGACCAGTACCGCGCCGCCACACGGGATCAATCTACCAATTTGCGAGGTTTCATCTTCCTCGAGACAGATCGCAGATCGGGGCTGCAAGACAATGCATGGCAGCATGCTCTCGAGGAAGTTGACTTTTTGGTCAGAATCGCCCGAGGCAGCCCGCGAGCAGGCGAGGGTCACCGGCCTGAAGACGCCGCGTTGGTTTTGGGAATCGTGCCGTGGGCACCAGTGCCAGCCGGCCAGGCGGGTCTCGCGAATTACAACCGACAAGTCCAAGAGCGTGCGGGAAAAGAGTGGTCTCTCGTCAAGGGGTTCCGCTATCTCGTCCAGGATAAGCCCGCTGGAACGATGCTGCAGGACAAGTTCATTGAAGGGTTACAATGGCTAGGAGACCACGATCTCACATTCGATCTGGGAGTGGACGCTCGATCTGGTGGGTTGCACCAACTCCAGGAAGCATGTACGATGATGGAGCGAGTCTACGAGAACGGAAACGGCCTAGTAATCATCATCAACCATTTCTGCAAGCCTAACCTACGGCTGTCTGCCCAGGAATCCCTCGCGAACAGCCACGCGGACTTCACAAGATGGAAAGACTGCATTGAACACATGGCCCGACATCCGTCGACCTATATGAAACTCTCGGGGTTTTTCTCTGAACTGCCGGAACAGAACGACACCAGTCCGACACCTGTCACAGCTCTTGTTGAGCGGACGAGCCCCTGGGTTGACGTCGTCTTCAAAGCCTTTGGACCGTCCAGGATCATGTTCGGCTCCGACTGGCCAGTATGTAATCTCGGCGGTCCCGGCGTTGTCAAATCATGGAGCCACTGGCACGACCTAGTGGAAGCGATTCTTGCCTCGCAGAACTTGACGGCTGAGGAACGAGCAAAGATCTGGTCTGGCACTGCCATCAAAGCGTACAGAATTGACTGTTCCCGTTGCACGAAATGACCGCGGCCTGTAATTCGCAATCCTTTTCTTCGAATATTCCGTGTAATATTTGGCCTCCGCACATACATGTACATACATGCATGTCCAGTTACATCACTGAAAATTCACAAACGCTCCTCCATCCACCAAAAGGGCTGCTCCAGTAACGTAGCCGCTCAACTCAGGCTGGGCGAGGAAGAGCGCGGGCCCGGCCAGATCGTCGGGTTTCCCCAGTCGACCGAGGGGAATGCGTCCCTCCATATAGGCCTTTTTGTCGCTCCCATCCTTCAAGTCCTCGTCATTCAGCTGCGTGCGAATCGTGCCAGGCAGCAGAGCGTTGCAGCGGATGTTGTACTTGCCCAGCGCGGTGGCGGTGGACTGCATGAGACTCAAGATGCCGGCTTTGGTGGGCGTGTAGTGGCACTGCTGGGCGCCACCGACAAGTGCTGAGATGGACGAGATGCCGATGATGCTTCCGCCCTGAGGGTTCTGTTGGCGGACCATCTGCTGCGCGGCGGCTTGGACGGCATAGAAGGCGCCTGACAGGTTCGTGTCGAGATGCCGCCGGTAGCTCTGCGGCGAGATCTCAAGAAACTCCTCGAACCGGCAGATGCCTGCGTTGGAAACGAATGTGTCAAGCCGCCCGAAACGAGACACCGTCTGCGAGACGAGCTCCTGACCCGTCTCTGGAAGCGCAATGTCTCCCGAGACCGTCAGCAGGGGCACATCATGGAGGTCGTGCACAGCCATGGGCGATGATGAGGAAGGTTGCAAGCGGGACTTGATAGCGTCAAATGCTTCGGTGCGCAACGATGTGAGGAGCTTCTCTTCATCCTTGTTGTGGGAGGGCAGATAGTTGATGGCCACTTTAGCGCCGTGCGACAGGAAGAGGATGGTGATTGCTCGTCCGATCCCTGTTAATCCTCCAGTGACTGCGCAGACTTGGCCGACAAGGAGGGGCGGGAGTGTCATTGTCACTCCAGGATATGTGGTATGATGTGGTTTGGTGTAAGATTGCCTAGACGTGTATGAGCTTGCCAAGGTGTTGTTGTGTCTGAGTTTTCCCGAGCAACAGGATTTCCTTCAGCCTGTGAAGACCTTGCAAGACTCAATCAGAGTAGAGTGTCATGCAGCAGATGATATGTCCATGCTCCGATCACAATCACTTGCAGAACTTGTGTGGGTGAGTAAGTGTCCGTATGTATTGATATAAAGTCACATATAGATGGACTCGATCAATCACGAGCCTGTGTTGTTTACCTGTGGTCTCTGTTGTCTCGCGTTCTTTTCTTCGAGCATTTGGCCAGGGTCTTGCCTTCGTCGCGCAAGGAACAGAGCCAGAGTCTGTTGCTTTCTTTGAATCAGAGACGAGGGAATTGGTGAATATCTTGGGCCCCTCCTTCGGGTGAACATCCCACCGGCGATACCGAGCTCGTATTTGTCGATCGTCTTGTTGTGCCTGTCCCACTCTCTGCCCCTCTTCCTTCTGGTTTGCCTGAGAGTCCACAGCGGCCAGTTCGTACTGTCAAGTACTGTCAAGACATCTGCACGTGCTTATTGGACTCCTGTTGTCTTCATTCAGCACAGCGACACCCAAAGCTTGTTGTGATGAAGATGCCTGCTCCAATGCCATGGCTCTGTCCTTCCTTCCTGTCGCTTAACAGTCACAGCACACGCCCTCAACTTGTGAGGTGACCAACCCAAAAGAGCTTTCAGCTCTGATGAATAGCCACGGCCTGCCATAGGATTGTGGAGGCCCATATTCACCGGCGTATTTGCTGGATGCTCATGCAAGAAGTCGATAGCGAATCTCCAGTCAGCCAAGGTCGCCGAGAAAAGCCAGCCAGGGAAGCCCAGACACCAACAGATCAGGGAGAAAATTGGTCATATCAACAGCAAAGGGTTTCACCAACCTGGGACAGATCCCGACAGTGTCGTGCGCAGAGGCAGTGGTGAGAAGCAACTCCTCCGAAAAGATTTGAGAAGGTTTGATCACTTCCGGCGGCCCAAAGTTCTCCCCGTGGTTCGCCACAGCACCTCGCATGATCGATCAACTCCTGGTACCTCGCAGATATGTCTTGCCGAAACTTGAGCTATCAAACTCTCTGATGGCGAACTTGCATTTCGGTGCACGTCCTCCACAAATCGCCGACGGCAAACAATACCTCAACAATAAGTGCCGAAAGTCGTTGAGAGGTTGTCCATCATCACGAACATGACCAGTCAGTCCATTCGTCAGCAGTGATGGCAGGCCACGGGTAGCCTCGATATCCGTCTGGGCTAAAAGCTTTACATCTTCTCGTTCATTGGATGTTGGCACCCACGACCTCGCTCAAGAACAGCCTTGAGGGGCTGGCGGAACTGTTACTAACAGACTCGTTGAAGTAGTGAGGTCTGACGAGCCAACGTCAGAGGGAGAGAAGGCGGAGTACCTTGTCCCCTCGGAAGAGCGGTCCTGGCATCCTCATAGACGTGAGGCATCCTACCGTCAAATATGGAGCAAAATAGGTCGAAGGATTGGGGCTTGTTGTAACCCCTTGGTGCCCTTGTGCAGAGAGATGACAAACTTCCCCAAAGGCCCTCCAAGTTGTAGCAGAAGAAGCAGCAGTAGCCGACCCCAGATCAGGGAAATGACAGACTCGAAAGTCGCATGACTCGATCTTCCCTGATAACTGCATGTCGGCGCACGTGCCCCATGCTACGGACCGCTCACGGATCGGCCAAAATCCTATCTCGCTCATTGCAGGGCTATTATGTTCAGCCACAGCCACTACCTGGAACGGGTTGGGTGCGAGCGTGGTGGTAGGATCGGAAACCCTCAAGAGCCGAGGGATCTGTTTAGTCTGGAAACATTCCAGTAGTCCAGGATGTCCAGGCAATGAACTCCGTCCATGCCGAGAATGCGTACCTATGTACCTCGTAGGGGTCCAACGGTGCAAGGTACCTCCGAATCCTGCTTCCTTTAGCGAGGGTGGGAAATCAGGGATCCCTGTCTAGGCTCGACCATTGCGGCTGAATAGAGGGGAGCTGTGGCTTTTCTGAGCACTATTTTCCGCCCCCAACCTGGTTGATCCTGATTTGGAAAAGCTGTGAGGACTTTGCTCGCAACTTTTGCCCGCCACCATCGTCGACTTCGGGATCTTACTCTTGGTCTCGGGTAGTACCAGTTTTTCAGTCGTATGTGCGTATGTAGCTCCGTCCGAGATTGTAAGAATATCCGGCGAACTGCATGGACTAGGGCACCGGTCATAGCCGTGAAAGCCCTAGCAATGGTTCCAAGAGACGATAAGTGGCACGGTCTTTCGGTCACATTGGCTGGGCTGCTCATGCATGTAATTACTCCGACTCGGGGCATGTATGTCGAGTGTCGATTTGGACTTCTTGGACGACGACGGCCGTAATATCCGTCATGCGCCGTCCAACATACCTAGTGCAGATGTAGTAAACATCATGGTGACGAGGACGAGCAGTCCTGCGCGGCCCCCTCCGGGAATAATCGACGTGATCAATGCCCATTCCACGCGGACTTTTGGTGTGCTGTCGTTCCCACGTCCTCGGCGCCTTTGCGGTGTGAAGATCAGATCCCTCATAGGGCAAAAAACCAGTCCAAATTTGCCAGCCCAGACAGAGTGTCATGATGGCGCAAAGGTCCGGAACACAGGCAGAGAAAGCCTTGCTGCTGCCTGTCTTCCAACTGGCACTGAGACAAGAAGTATCTAAAAGTAAATGACACGGCGGTGATGGATTCTGGTTGCCTGACCATTTCTCGCTTGTCCCGGGCAGCCCATGCCCAAAACGATGTTCCAGACATCTGTGATGCCAACCAGTTATCCCCGGTCCTCCGGGTCACAGCACCCGCTGTGGAGTAGTACATATATCATATAGATGAATCAATCCCAAAATATACCTATCCGCAGTCGCTGTCGTAGACTTCATGCTCGTAGGAATCATTGTGGCTACGCCCATGTAACACTCCCTAATGCTCTGCATAAGGGGATCCCCAACACCATAACCAGATCAAAAGATCTCCAGGAAAGTACCCGGAAATAGCGCCGTCCGTTTCCCTTTCCATCCGGTGAGATGTACATTACTAGGAGACGCCTGCGCCCCATTGCTCATACGCTCCGGACTTGATGTTCCTGCGACACCAGGTCGCCGATCCGAACCTTACATCCATTCAAAAGCAGAAGTGAGTAGACTGTGACGTGTGTCGACCATAGGCATGGCGTAAGATCGTCGAGTGTGTAGAGTTTTGATTTCCCAATAGCCACCTAGGAGTGCGTGCTTTTCCGGAGGTCGAGAATGCGCCAGCATTGGTGCCGAGTGCTTCAGTATTTGTCATCCTTGGCGTCTGCAGTTCTCGCCACGAAGCATCCCGAGGGGTTGAGTGTATTGATGAAGCTCAGAGTTGCGGTCCCAGTTCAGCACAGAGATGTCAGATACTTGGGGTGCCCGCGCATATTGACGTGCAGTGAGCCCGTTGTAAATCAAAGCAACGAACGGTGGGTCATCTGCGTCGACCTGCGACCGATAGAATAATCGAATGACGTGGGCGTCCCGGCAGATTGGATCTGCCGCCGGACCGACTAGGAGTTCCCCGTTTCGTCCGGTACATCGAGAGAGGAGAACGCTCGGAAAGCTTTTGCTGTCGTCTCGGGAAAGTAGGATTCAGGGTGGAAGAACCCGACATTATCACCGGCGGCCAGATGTTGAAGGATAGCCACCGCTAGAGTACCCAGAATCGTGCCATGGACGACCACCCGAGGGCTTGGAGTCAGATGGCGATGATGACGATGCTTGGTCCGAACGCCTCTTCGCTGAATGGTTTGGACAGGCGAATCCAACCAGAACTGTCTTCTCGGTCGTAGAATGACCTCGCTGACCATATCGCTGGCATGGATCAACCGAATGCTTGTGGTACAGACAGCGGCAGACTGCATATCTTTCGACAATCTGATAGCACATGCTTGTCCTGGTCTTGGAAATAGATTCAGTAATACTTGCACAGTGGAGAGAGTTGCAGGAAGGACGAAAAACTGCCGTGGGCAAAATCACTTTGAGTCAGAAAAAGAGAAGTTTGAAATATGTGCAGGAAACAGTTGATTACACAAAGGTGAGGTGATGTAGGCACCTGGTGCTTCCAGAGTCTTATATCATGGAAGTCATAACTGTAGCCTTAGGAAGGAACCAATCAGTTGACTGATGCAGTTAGGCGGGGGGGTTAGGGAAGTAGCGACGCATGGAGTCATGTGTCGAGGGCCAAAATTGGCCCAATGAATGACAAGAAGCCGTAGATTCTTTTGAAGATGAGAAGTATTCTGCGTAGTCGAAATGGGGAACGAACAAGACAGTACATTGCCTGGGTTGGAAAGAGCAAAGAACCAACCACGCCCCCAGCCTGCCACGTTTTGAGAATAGAACCGGTACCAATAGAAACGTCGAGATGCAAGGTGTCGACCAAATAAGAATCCGGCCTGATTGTAAGGACTAGGCCCAGCAACGGCGGCGTAGGGGTTGGCATTGAGCCGGAGAGATGGGGTGGGAACTGCTGAGCACTGCGGAATGGTGTTGTTTGCGATGTTTGGACCGGGGAGACGAGGGAGTTTGGGTCCGAAACGTGGTGGTTGATCGATCACCACGAACACAAAATAATGGAACGTTTGTTCGATGCAGGAAACAGCAGCCATCCGCGTGCCGAGAGAGCGGGGACTCACATCGTCACCTACCCTGTCATGAACGAGGTCAACGTAGTGGTCCCACGAAAAGGTGCGCTTTTTTTTTCTCGATGCAGCATCTGGAGTGACTTGCTGATTGGGATGGGTCTGAGGCTGAAATAGGCTTGAACGGTTTGGGCGTAGGGTGGGCGGTGCTGAGAGGTGGTTCACGGCACGACCCAAGAATGAGGGTCTGCCTGGTTGTTAGCAGCCTGAAGTTCCCATCCGGGCCCAGAGAAACTCGAATGACCCCGGAAGAAGGGCACTAGGGACCAGCCCGATGGATGAGGGAGTCAAGTGTGTCAGTGGAACGGTGAACTGAGCAAGGAGACCATTTGTGGATGGGCATTGGCAGGGGGCGGAAGACTGGAGACTTCGAGCCAAGGTACCTGCGTAGCCCTGCGCAGGCTTGGGGAGGGATAAGATATGACTTGTGCGCAGGTAGTGAGGGACATGGGACATGGGGGTATCATTTTTCGCCACATTCGGTGGGAGAGATCGTGGTGAATCAGGTCAGCAACTTCAGTCAGAGCGATACAGAAAAAGGATAAGATTAAGAGACAGGCGATGACTGTTGGGCGATGGGATGGATGACACTGGGCGGAAGAAAGTGAGGGAGGTGGGAGGCCAAGTGAAGCACAGGTGAGGCACCAAGTCACGTGAAATCACCTGACTATCTCGGCATTCCGGATATTAGAAATTACGTCATTTTGGGCTAGTGCTGGTGGCGCCGGATGGCACCCAGTGGTATGATGGTACTGAACCTGAGTGGTCACACTAAACAGCCGCTAGAGAGCGCTAAAGCAATTAAATAGGGACCTGCTAATATGCTAGTTACATACGAAGACATACTCGTACACACTTGTACCTGCCGCGAAAATCGGTACCTGACTTGGTACTGTACATCTCGTATGCCTCACTACCTAGGTACCTAGTACCCAAGGGCAAGTAGAAGCGACCCGGAACCACAAAAGCAGAGGAACACAATGTCAGACCTTCTCGTCCCCTCCCCTCTCCTCATCTCACCCTCTTCCTTTACTACCAAGAATCCTCCTTAGGGCTGAGAGATATGACAAAGTATTGTACCTCGTACTCATGATATCTGCTCTCACACCCCCGCCCTCCCATCTTGTTGGTCGGTTCGTAATACGATAGTTTCGGGGAACCTCTCAAGTCACATCTTAAATAGTTACACACGCAGCCTTAGACTCACCCGTCTCATTCACATCCCACGAGGTATGCTTTCCTCTGTTGATCATTACGAGTTCTTAGCTTTTCCTTGTGAGCCCTGCAGGGCCCTGACTCGACCTATACCCTTCCGAGGACTACCTTTGTCGCCCAATCGGGTATCGGGTAAGGCTGACTCGATTCAAAACCTCACCGTAATAAACGGGTACAAAAATACTATGGGCAGTGTCGTGTTCTTTGCCCTTCCCCCACCCCCGTCCTTGCTGACGCTATCACCAAGTTTCCCTAATGCTGTTATTCCAGTTTACAACACACAAAGTTTTGTCTCATCTCTGCCCCTCGGAGGGGTTGTTGTTCCGCTTTTGCCTCCCGCAAGTCTTGAGGCTTAGGATCAAGTTTCAAATCCTCTTCTTGAGACCAAGAGAGAGGAAGCTAAAATATCTTCACTGACAAATCCTCGACTGGAGAAATTCCGCGTGAGGGATCTTTGTTCGGCTACACCCGCCACACCGAAGCGATATCAGGGCACGTCACCGCACGCGCAAACCTTGCCTCTCCGCCATTTCGTGGCATTAATTTGTATGGAAGAGCCAATCAGCTTCTGGATTCGGGACTGCAAAGTTCGGGATCATCCCAGCATTCATGGCCGACAGATCCGGGGGCGCAGCTTGGCCCAGGCCTTGTGCGTTTCCATTTTCCACCCCTTCCTGAGTCATGGGGACCCGGGGAAAGTTGAAAAGGTCAAAGACATCAAGATACTCGAGCTCGTTGGGGGCCGGGGTGTTTGTTCGGGTTGGGTGGTATGATTTGACGGCCGCAGCATGTGGCTGGCGGGAGATGAGAAAGTCGAGATCGTAGGCGCACCTGTTTCCATGAACTTAGCACGCATCCAATCACGTGTCAGAACCACCTTACCGGCGCATGTCGGCCAGGATTTTCACCGTCGACGGAGTTACCCTCTCCCCTGTCACTCCACTGGCTCGCTGCGACTGTCGATATTCCCCTAGAACCCGGCTCAGGATTTCGCTGTATCGTTTGGCAACGAGCCAATTCTCCCCCATTTCGGCGAGCGTCGTCACGAAGAAGTCAATGTCTGGATCCACTTCGTGATCCATGGTCGACCCGTGCACCAGCATGACCCGTGCCCCGACCCAGATGGCAAAGGCAAATGGGGGCCCGAGACGGTCCAGCAGGCCACTGAGCTTGACGAAACGACAGAGCTGACGCAAATTCTCAACAGCGGATAAACACCGCTGCATAGCGCTGTAGGACGAAGAGAAGATTGGCGAAGTCTGGCTGGGATACGCCGCAGATGAGTTCAACCGAATGACCGTCAGACAATATGCTGCATGCAGCATGATCCAGCCACAATTGGTATTTTTAGCAGGCACGTTGGATTTTAGAAGGCGTGTGATGTTGGCGAATTCGTCAGGCAGACTGAAGTGCCACGCGTTTAGGTCGCTGTCGAGGGCTCGGTACGAGCCTTGCCACTGTTCCACGTCAGTCAAAGAGCCAATGTCCACGGGCCGTTTCAGAAACTGGTGGATGTGACCAAGAATAGCCATGAGCTCGCAGTGGTAAGAGAAATGTCCATGGGCGTCGGCGATTCCTGTCGCATATCTGGGGCGCTCCGGTGGCCGAAACCATCTTGTCTCGACCTGCTTGTTTGCAGCAAAGAGATCATCTCTGCAAGGCAGGCGCCGGTCAACCTCTTTCTCGTCCAGCGCGAACTCGAAAGCCGTGGCTATAGTGGCGTAGCGATCAAGCAGGTAAACTGCCCAGAACAGCCTGCGCCGCTCTTCATCTTCGATCCAAGACTTGGGCTCGGCGAGGACAGAAGCCCTGAGGGTTGCAATCGAAGGATACATTGGCGAGGCAAGCGCAGACCCCGATTCAACCGCAAGCCCCAGTTGCACCATGCTTCTACTGATCAAAGCAAGAAGATTCCACGCTGGCGGACCATTCGTCGAACCCGTCACATCCAGCGCCAGAATGACGAGTGCTTGCAGCGCTCGGACGTTTGAATTGTCCAGGCCAAACAACTGAACACGCTGCTTGGAGGTGTCATGATAGTGTTGGCGGCCCTCGGGGGTCAATCGAGGGTCTTGCGAGAAACGTAGGGTAGTTGCAACAATGGCATGCAGAAGCACTCGGTCGGCTTCGTCGAGAGTCGAAGCTCCAAAGAGAGTGTCTAGAGTGGTCTTTCTATCCAGCAAAGGCAGCCATATATTGATGTGTTTGAAATAGAGATCCACCAAGGCATAAAGAAGGTCATATGGTGGAAGCATGGCCGAGTACTCATTGTACATGTGTGTGCCTTGAAATCCTGTGGTGGAATGCGGCGAAGTGAGGGTATGGGACTGAGCAGATGGAGTGTAATGGCTCTGCTGCGCCGCCATCTGCTGGTCTGGAGCTCCTTGCTGATACTGTAGGGAACCATGTCGCGAGGTGGGAGCATGCAAGTTGGGGTCGATAATCTGTTGCTGAAGGTCACCAGTGACATCGATGGCTTGGGTATCATACGAAACGCGCGGCCGAGCGACGTCGGAACCTAAGCCTTGCACACTGTGTCTATTGCTGGCGGAGTTGACTCCAGCATCAATGGTGCATGATTCTGCCAGATGGGCGGCCAATTGGCGACCTTGTTCTTTCAACAAAGCCTCTAGGCGATCGAGTCTTCCCTCTAGCTCCCTACCATAACCGGCTCGAAGGCCAGGCTTCTTCCGCTCTCTGTATTCACATGGATGATCATTCCGAGAACACCACCCACATGCAGGCTGAGCACGGTCGCATTTGACTTTTCGCTGCTACTCCACAAAATCAGTCTGACTCGATAGAGGATACCGGGAACTTATTCATACGGACCTTGCAGGCTTCACAGCTGTCAAACTCGGGCATTAGTGAAGATGCGCATAATTATGAAGATAAGATGAACAGGGGAACACGATGGAGCAACAGTGGAAATTGCCAGCACGTACGTGACGTTCATGGGCCTCTTGCGCTTTTTGGAGCCATCCCGATCGTCGTCTTCCCCCGACTCAGAGTCTGACGGGGTGTTGGACAACGGCCTCAGCGGGCCCAGAGAGCCTAAAGTGGTGGCCGACACGTGGACGTGGCCATTGCTTCCTGGATTATGGTCATAAAGCTCGAGCTTCGTCGTGTCCATGATCATCAGCTAGCAATTGCTGTTGGCCTTCTGTGTGCCCGTCAGGCGTGTTGGCACTGGTGGCATTGCCCCGTAAGCCGAGTTGTCGGTTGAGAAGAGGCCGAGAATGGAGAAAAAGGTTGAAGCAAAACAGAGAAAAGCTGGGGAAACAAAGTCAGCGAAAACATTGGGTCGGCGGGCCAAGTCTTACATCACTCCACCAGGAGGAGGTCACGAGAGCTTGGCATTGACTGTCAGACAAAAACACATCCGTGGATATCGTAGATCTTCTGTGAGATTTCCCTGTGAGTGCGTTGACAGACCAAATCCAAAGCTACCACCAATTTACCCCGCCACGCCTGCTACACCGAAACTGCCTGCGCCCCTTGCTCACCTTCATCCATCTCTTTCTTTAGATATGCTCACGGATGCTGCTCCTCCGGCACCACTCGGCTAATGATGGAGACAATGCATTGAGAGATCCGCGATCTCGTGCCTTGAATCCTCTGTACCTCGCTCCCAGGGAAATCGCCGTTCCGCGCCCTGCATGCCTGTCTATCACCAGGCGAGTCCATCATTGCTCCGAACCCGGGTGAAGCTGTACCGATCAGCGAAACCCAAGTTCATCGGGTGAAATTTGGTGGTGCTATTTCGTTGTATTATTTGTGCATTTCAACCCCTCTAGGACAAATCATGGCGTATTTGTTTGCCGCTGTGGTTCTCTCTTCCAAGGGCTTCCTATCTCCTCAGGACCATCTTCCTCCATAACTGAAATTCCCGAATCAAGCCCGAGAAATAAACCCAAACAGCTTGAGACCTATCATGGCGGGGGTTAAGATGTTTCCTACGATCAGAGCCGTCCGGACATTCGTTATCGAGGGGGTGGGTTCTGGCGGCGACTATCACAATGTCAAAGGTGGACACTGGCTGATTGACAACAAAATTGCGACGCCCATGTCCAAATGGGATCGATACAGAAGCTCCCGAACCTCCTTTGGCATCAATGTCCTCGGTTCCTTCTGTGTCGAGATCGAAGCCACCGACGGCACCAAAGGCTTTGCCACGGGCTTTGGTGGACCGCCTGGCTGTTGGCTTGTCCAGCAACACTTTGAACGATTTCTGCTCGGACGAGATCCACGGGACGTGAACGATCTGTACGAACTCATGTACCGGGGTTCCCTATTCTACGGGCGGAAGGGTCTACCAGTGGCCGTCATTTCTGTGATTGACCTTGCTTTGTGGGATCTTCTGGGCAAGATTAGGAACGAGCCAGTCTACAAAATGATCGGTGGCGCCACAAGAGACAGATTGAACTTTTATTGTACCGGTCCTGAGCCCGCAGCTGCACAAGAAATGGGTTTCATGGCGAGCAAGGTCCCTCTGCCCTACAGCGCCGACGAACCAGATAGCCTCAAAAAGAACATTGCGTTCTTGAAGAAGCATAGGGAAGCCGTCGGCCCTGACTTTCCTCTGAGAGTCGACTGCTGGATGTCGTTGAATGTACCCTACACTATTGAGCTCGTGTCAGAGGCTAAGAGACAGGACATCAGAATAGATTGGTGGGAGGAAGTGTTGTCGCCAGATGACTTTGATGGCTTCCAGCTATTGAAGCGGGCACATCCAGACACCAAGTTCACGACAGGAGTAAATTTTCCTCGACCAAAAGCGCCTCATATTTTCAGGACTAACTCGCTCCCAGGAACATGAATATTCACGCTATGGATTCCGCAAACTTATCGAGGGTCGCAATGTCGACATCATTCAGCCTGACGTGATGTGGCTTGGTGGCTTGACGGAACTTCTGAAGGTTTCTTCAATGGCGGCGGCATACGACATCCCGGTAGTCCCACACGCCTCTGGTCCCTACTCGTATCATTTCGTCGTCAGTCAGCACAATTCTCCTTTCCAAGAATATCTAGCCAACAGCCCCGATGGAAAAAGCGTTCTACCTGTCTTTGGCGATTTGTTCCTGAATGAGCCGATCCCCACAAAGGGTTACTTGGACGTACGCGAATTGGACAAGCCTGGATTCGGGCTGGAGTTGAATCCCAATGCACGTCTGATCGATGCGACAAATCTCCTGGGCATGAAGCCGCAGAAGTCCCTAGCAATGCCTGTGGATATCGATGGGGCCAAGGCCAATGGATCTCATGCGAACGGCGACCATCTCGCCACGCAAGCCAATGGATCAATGGTGGGAGACCATGTTGACTAAAAGAAATGATGGTTCTGGTGTGGCAAGTGTATCATTGACCGCAATAGACATTGTGGTTTCTGCACATCTCTTAAGAACTTTGCATGAATGGCATGGTATTCAACGGCGAATCTGCACGTGGCCTGCCGCTTTATGCAGGAATTAGGTGACCTAGCTTAACTTCGGGCTTAGCCTCTATATAAAAACGTGGTTAGCCTACCCAGGCAGCCAGGCCGGTACATATACAAGTAATTTACTCCCAGATTCCCCCCTCCTGTGCCAGTTTCGGCAAAAGCGCCTCCTCTCCACTCCTGACGATGGGGTTGTATTGTCCCTCTGATACACTTGGCTTAACGAAGCCCCTTTTATCACAGATGTTTACGAATCTTTCCACCTCGTCGGCTGCGAAATTCGACAGGCCAAGGCCTCGGCCGTCTCTTCGAAGGGCGTCGCGCGATCCGGAACGTGGATGTCCTCGACATTGACCTGTGGCTGTTTCAACGCGTCGATGGAGGAATCTATACTCTCCAGAGTCTCGTGTCTGGTGTGGCTGCCAGGCACGAAAGAGACAACTTTGGTGTCGATCAAGAATTGCTCGCCTTGCTTCGACAGTGCCCAGGTATTCATTCACCTGTTCAGGCGTGTCGTATCGGGCGGTTGGGATCCCGCTGTGCATCCCCGACCTGATCATCGGTTGTTCAGTGGTGGTGCTCCTCATTCATACGTTGCACTGTTCTGGCATACATACATTGGCTAGCCCAAGCAAAACCTTCAATGCCGGCCCTGTCGACATTTTTTGTCGGCTTTTTCAAATCACCCACTCGGAGGAGAATCAGGGGAGGGGGAAGAGCAATCCAGTGGACACGTGCGAAAGGCCCAGTATTGTTGAGTAGGAAACGAAGGAACATGGTATTGCGGGTTCGTCAGAGGCCCCGAGGAGGCCACATAAGGAAGGTTCTCTGGGATGTGGTCATGATTGATCAGAGGATCAAGCCCTCATAACTCGGTTGCCCAGTGTGAATCGGAAGCATTTCCCATATTACATCTTAGATCTCCGGATTCCCTCGACCGGCCGAACGCCCCTCCGCCGAAGAGGATACCCGTCCGCTTCGACCGCCGACTGTAATTTGGTCCTTTGATATATACACCCTTTTTTCTTTCGTCATGTTGAGGAGCTTACAGATCAATCCCATCGGACCATAGCTGGCAAGGCAGCTCATTTCTCTAGCCGGAAGTTGTCCCCCGACCCCCCCCCCCCCCCCACAAACAGAGGTCCGTACAAAACGGTATCTGTACACTATACTTGGTCGCACTAATCATGGGTCTCAGAGTAGTATATAGTCGCGCTCAAATTGCCAGGCCCGCTCCCAGAACTGAACTACATGTTCCTGTTGTTAGTTTCCCCGTAAACAATGTCAAATCAAAATGTCTTTCTTGTCGGTGCAACAGGAGAAGTAGGTAGACATGTCTTGAATGCTTTGATCGACCATGGCTCTTTCGTAAGTACCGGCGTCCGTTGCCTGTCCATTTTGACTCGAGAATATTTGCATTCTCATGGAGTCACCTGGAAAGTGGTCTCGAGTCTAATGCACCGAAAATTTTTCAAACGCTGTTTAGGACATTACCTGCTTCATCCGCTCCTCGTCGGAAGGGAAACCCAGCACTAGACAGCTTCGTGATCGGGGGGTTAAGGTTGCCATCGGTGATCTGAACGGTCCCCTGAAGGCTGTCGTTGCGATGCTGGAGAACTGCGACACCGTCATCTCCTGCATGTCGCCGGTGGGTCTGAAAGATCAAATCCCGCTGGTCGACGCCGCCGTCCAAGCGGGCGTCAAACGGTTTCTGCCCTGCAACTGGGGGACGCCCTCGGCCCGTGGCGGTATTTTGGCGGTGAAAGACGTCAAGGAAGAAATTCACGATTACATCTTCCAACACCGGCTGGGATATACCATCATTGACGTCGGCTTCTGGTATCAAGCGAGTCTGCCTCGGGTGCCGAGCGGCAAGTTCGACAGCGCCATCTTCATACCGATCAATGATGTCTATGCCGGCGGAGTGACCCCAAACATGCTGACGGATGTCAGAGATGTAGGGAGAATCACGGCTGAGATTGTCAGGGACGAGCGAACGCTCAACCATCGAGTGATCGCGTATGGGGACGTCTTGAGCCAGAATGAAATCCACCAAATCATCGAGGACAAGACCGGCGAAAAGCTGCAGCTCTCTACGGTTGGAGAAAGAAAAAAATCCCTCTCCCGCTTCCGAGCTCGAGGCTGACCGATTCACAGAAGACGAATGACGAAGCTCAAGCAGCGCTGGAACAGGCAAAAGCAGCACTTGGAAGCAACCCGGATGAAAAGACCAACCGGTTCTTGTTGGCCGCGGCACAATATGCCGTCACCAAATATGTTCGAGGTGACAACACGCCCGAAAACGCCAGGTATTTGGGATACATCGACGCGAACGAGCTTTTCCCAGATTTCAAGTACAGAAGTTATGCAGAGTTCATCGACGAGGTGATTGCCGGGAAGATTGAGAGGCTTTATCAAGATGTGCAGATCTGGAAACCATCGTAGCATTTCACTTGTTGATACAACGTTGTTTCTAATCTGTCGAGTGCCATCAGTCTGGAGTAAAAATTTGATAGTCTCCTGTCATGTGAAATTGCATCATGTAGTCCTTAGGCGATCGTCTCAAAGTCCCATGTTCCGGCGGCTGCACTGTTCAACGGCGGTTGGTCCCCAGACCCTCTCATCAACATGTCGAAGAAGACAGTATCGAACCCTTGAAAGGCCCAGTCATCCAAGCTCGCAGAAGCGTCGGGAAATATTTCGTTCTGCTGTTGAATAAAGACATCTTCTGACGTGGCTTGTTCAGCGTTGTCTGGGATCTGCTGTCCGCCAGATAGCTTGTCGACGGTCGATCCGGCGGATGCTGGCTGTGAGACCTGGTCAGACCTCCTTTGGCCGCCGTCCCGCTGATCTGAATGTCGACGAGGCTCAGACACGTGGAGAGATCCAAGACCCCCAATTGTAACACCGTCATGAAACACTCGAGGGTGCGATCCCTTGGACGGCGCCAGAGATGTGATTCCTTCCCGGGCAATCCGAACAGCGCCAACATACGGGATCTGGATGACCAAAACGTTGCTTTTGTCATGGTCTCCATCCTTCTCAGATGGCTGCTGGTGAGAACGAATTTTTCCCCGTGCATAACAACTGGCTTCGACCGCCAACAAATGCTTGAGCAGGGCCACACATTTCGCCGCAAGCACATCCTCGAAGATCTCCGACATGGACTTCATACATTCGAGAGCCCGCTCCACAGTAGCCCTGTCGCCTGCTCGTTGATGTGCGAGTAGATTGTGCGTTCCGTTATCCGAGTGGCTCGCAAAGTGGGCTAGAATCAACGTCATGCCTGCAATGAGTGCCATGAAGTCGCCCATCCGGCAGCAAGATGAGACTGAGCTGTAGGAGCGCATCGCAATCTGTCGAGTCAAGACCTCGCGGCTCGCGTTGACGCAGGCGAGTCGGGAATACATGACTTGTGACGCATCGCAAGAGTAAAGCATGTGCGGCAAATGAAGTTGATTCAACAACGTGAAATAGCACATCAGATCCCAAGTTCGACGGGTTTCCCACAAAGCCTCCTGGGAGTCCGATTTGAGACTGGCCAGAGTCGAAGGCCGCCAAAAACTAGACGGGAGTTGTTCAGTCATCTCGATGAGGTCTCGATCAATCTGCCGTGTCATATCTAGCGCTAGCTGAGGATCCCTAATCTCGTTTCGTGCAAGAATGCTGGCGGCCACGTCCATGACGAGTGTAGGGAGGGTCTGCTGTTTGGTAGATGTCCTCGTAGAAGGAGGGGGAATACTGGAGGGTAGACCTAGTAATAGAGACAGAAATCGTTCTATGGGCACAATGCAAGCCCACATCGCCCCAGGGTCAGGATCGATCTGATCGTTGATAATCTTGTAGCGATGCTGGCCGCCTTGATGCAAACCCAGCAGCTGTGCGGTCATGACGGCACGCCGTATGGTTATCCACGCCCTCCGAATGTTGCCACTATCAATATGGAAGAGCGCTTCCAGGATGATGTTTTCGAGGCCTTCGAGCGTACCTAACAGGGTATCATTGGTCGTGACCAAGCTGATTGCCGCCTCGGCAAGTTTCTCCATGGCGACATGGTGATGCTCGGTGAGGTCGACTATGACTTGCTTTCGTGGGATGTGTTGCAGTGCCGTAGCCACCAGCAACATTTGCCTTGCCAAGAGGACAGGATGGACGTCGGGTTCCGAGAGAGCTGATAACAGTAGTTCAGTCTGGGGTGTTTCATTCTGCCTCAAGCATGAGAAGCGGTAGTTCGACTGAGATACTTCTCGTAGCAATATCTCAACATCGCTTCGAGATGGAAGTGCGCCAAGTAGACCTTGAGTGATGTTCGCGAGTCTGTTTGAGGTCAAAGTGGAAGCTTGAACAGACAGTAGGTTTGGGATTGGCGGCGACATCATTGACTGGACGAGTTGGTCTCCATCTCCACGGTCTGTGAGATAGGCCTGCTTTGGGACTGAATCAGTATGTGTGGCGCACAGTAGAGGTGAAAGTGATTGCGAACTTGTGGTCTCCGACGCAGATCTGATATCTGTGCCGATGAGACAGCACTGCTCGTTGCTGCCGCACAACCGACATCCCACACATCTGGGTCCGTACTATCACATGTGTCGCCTAACCTATCCTGTAACGGATGCTGTCCATCGATCAGACTGCTATTGTTGTTGGCTGCGACGATTGAATCCTCGGGGATTTCTTGACTGATGCACTGCTTTCCTCGGTCGTGGCAGTTGATACAGAGAGGATCACCCGGAGAAGCGAAAATACATTTCACTTTCCTTCGTTTGCAGTCCCAGCAGCTGTGCGTGCCTTTGCGGACTTTCCGTCGTTTGATCCTATTTTCGTCCGAGTGATGCACCATGGTCGACGAGATTGTTGAAGCCCAACGCGCGGACAACTGGCTTCTCAGACCGTAGATGTGTTACATTCACCTGGGACGAGAAAGAGAGAGAGCGTAGATTTGTAACTCGGACCTAGAACCAAGAGACAGGCTGGCAGGGCTGGCTGCTTCCACCGAAGTATTTCTCTTCGGCCGAATATTTGTGGAGCCTCCGACCAATCACGTGCGGTATCTAGACATGATTATTCACCCCCTTGGTATTTTCCCCCGAACCAACGACTATCCCGCGAGATATCTCACTGACCCATGTTTACAGACAACCAAGGGGAAAAGTGGGCATACGAGCTCCGTAGGATGAACTGGGCTTCGGCGAACCTCCCAACCCTTACATATGCTCTTCGGAGGAGTCGAAGGAGAGCCCAGGAAGCTTCGGGCGAATCAAGCATGTTCCTCCTCCCAGCAACCTGATCGACCCGACCGACGAGGTCATCATAGAATGATTTCCTGGAACAGGCTCGGAAATTGGCTTCCTGTTGACGGATTGGGGTCATCGTCCCCATCAGTCTGAAAGGTATAACTGCGGTGGTGTCGCATCTTTACACACTGTTTGAACCATCAGTTAAATTCCCGCTCTCCCATACTAAATTCAATCATGGCTGCATCGCCGTTAGACTCTGAAAAGCCGTCGACCGATATTCAGCCCTCTTCGAGTGGCACGGTTGCCATCTCAAGACCAGAGGAAGATGGTCCACAAGACGGAAACCTGGACGAAGGCCCTAAGCCTTCTGACGAGCATATGCATGGTATACGTCTAGCTGCAACAGCCGTTTCCCTCCTGCTAGGCATGTTTTTGGTGGCGCTCGACAACGTGGGTCATTTTCTGCGTGATACATTTCACCGTTGACAAAGGGGTTCTTCCTAGACTATCCTCAGTACTGCCATCCCCAAAATCACGGATGAGTTCAACGACTTGAACAAGATATCATGGTACGGAGCGTCATATTTCATGACCTTTGGTGGTGGTGAGTTCTGGCCACCCATCCTCCCTGTTGCTCTATGCGATACTGACCTTTTCGTTGTAGAGCATTACCTTTCTATTCGAAAGCTCCATCGCTGATCAAGTCAGGATTCCAATCAACATGGGGTAAACTCTACAAGTACTTCCCGATCAAGCTCTGGTTTCTCATTGCAGTATTCATCTTCGAGATTGGAAGTCTCATCTGCGGTGTGGCTCCGGGACCAACCACCTTGATCGTTGGTCGAGCAATTGCAGGTCTCGGTGGAGCCGGCATCGGCGTGGGAGTCTTTACCATTCTCGGGTTTGTTGCAGCTCCAGAAACCCGCCCACAGCTTCTAGGATATACAGGAGCCACATATGGGGTTGCGGCCGTGTTGGGACCACTGATCGGTGGCGCTTTCACCGACCAAGTGACGTGGCGCTGGGTATGAGCATCGAAAAAAACATTTGGAGGGCATAGCCACTGACTGACATGCTACCAGTGCTTTTACATCAATTTACCCATAGGTGGCGTCGCCGCCGTGATCGTTTTCATCTTCTTCAAGACCCCAGACAAGGCCAAACCCGCCAAGGCCACAATGAAGGAGAAGTTGTTGCAGCTGGATCTGGTCGGCGCCTCGCTCATGATGTGCCTGATCGTCTCCTATATCCTGGCGTTGCAATATGGTGGCCAAACACATCCTTGGGACAGCAGCGTCGTCATCGGGCTGCTTGTCGGTTTCGTCGCTATCTCGGCGGTTTTCGTGGCGTGGGAGATACTTCAAAAGGAGCGGGCCATGATCGTGGCAAGGCTGGTAAGTCAGTCCTATTGTGACTAGGGTGGCACAAACAGGCTGACCACGGCGAAATCATACAACAGTTTACCAAACGTTATGTCATGGTAGGCTCAATCTTCATGTTCTTCTTTGGCGGCGCATACTTCACGATACTTTACTTCCTCCCCATCTATTTCCAGAGTGTCTTCAACAACAGTCCGATCGGCTCTGGAGTCAAGATGCTGGCGCTTATCATTCCCTTGACGATCGCCGCCATTGTGCAGGGTATTGCACTGATCAAAATCGGCATCGTCCCGTTGTTCTGGCTCATCGGTGGCACTCTGGGCACCGTTGGCTGCGGACTGTTCTATACCATGGACGCCAACACCTCGACCGGGAAGTGGATCGGCTACCAGATCATTGTAGGCTTCACCAGTGGCTGGACGTTCCAGGTCGCCCTGTCCAATGCTCAGATCCATGCGAGCCCTGAAGATATGTCGCAAGTGTCAGCCATCGTCAACTGTAAGTCTCAACAGGCCCCCTTCTCCCGCGATATATATATATGCTGACATAAATTCACAGTCTTTGTGACGATCGGGGGGTCTTTCTTCATCTCGGCCGCACAATCAGCCTTCAACAATCAATTGATACGCACACTCGCAACCACTCTCCCCGACATCGACCCTGCATCGGTGCTTACAATCGGAGCGACTCAGATCCGTCATGCCTTTACTCCCACCCAAGTTCCGGCGGTCATCGACGCGTATATGACTGGCTTGAAAGCTGTTTTTGCCATCACGATTGCCGCGTATGGAACGTCCACTATTGTTGGCGTCTTCGGCAGCTGGAAGAAGATTGACATGGCAGACCTAAAAAAGGCTGCAGGGGGCGCGGCATGAGATACATACATGCAGGACACTGCCTGTCCGCAGACGAGAGAGTTGGCGATCGAAGCGTGCCACCATTCCTCTCGATCTCTTCTGTCTCTCGGTCTCTCGCAACATCTCTTACCGCGTATATAGAAGAAGGGCATCACCTCATGTGCGTTGATACACTGCCAGATCTACGCGTCGATAACGGACGGAGACAAGAGTCTAAAAGCACCAATAACTTTTTCGTATCTATATACGTGTTTTATCTACAGTGCCCTTTTCGACTCCAGTCTCACTCTCTGACCTATTCCCTATTACGGTTGAGACATGTCTTGACTATTACCAAGTATTCACTCTTCTCAACCTTGCCATTACAGCCAAAGGGTACAAATTTAACGCTTACCCAAGATAAGCAAGCCGATATAATCATATTACGAGCAAATGGAGGGCAGATCCATTGTTTGACCCCACAAAGCATCCATGCCTCGACCCCAGAAACGTCTAATGCACTTCATCACCTCCAACTCCACCACTCCAGGGACCCCTACGCGGCAGTTGGGATTCTCAAAGGCCAGCTCCCGACCATCCACATGATGACCAGGTACATAATAATTGCCAGGGGCCCCAAGACGGCATTACGGCAATCTGATCTATCACCGATCAGACTCGAGCTATATGTCCTCGATCGCCAATCTGGCCATCTGTGTTTTTTGTTGTCTGTGGTGACGTTGACAGGGTGATCACAAACCTCCCTCATCTTTCTATTTTCGTCCAAGGCCTGCACTCGATCATATACGAAACACGCCGAATACTTGTTTCCAGGCATCACCGCAAATCCTGCAAGGCTGCAATGACGAGGTCAGAAATGGAGGTCGAAATCGCTCCGTACGAGCCGCGAAGCGTCCTCGAAACACTCCCGTGCACTTTACCCATATCGCATTTTGACACGGACGTTGACTTTGAGAGCATCGCCACTCCGATAGTACAGTCACTGGGAGACCTCACGACAGCAGCAGTAGCAGCAGCAGCAGCAAACCTCTCCCCCATGGCAATATGGCGCGACGTGTTCGCCCTGACTGGCACTATGCGGACGTTCTACTCGGCCGACTCTGTCGCGAAGGCCTGGTCAGAGACGTGCGCGTCCCGCCAGGCGTGCGACTTTGCACCTATCAAGGGATCTGCAACACCGACGCGTCTGGACAAGGATGTCGGATGGGTGAATGTCTCGTTCACATTTCGCAATCGTGGAAGCCCCGCTTCCTCCTGCCGAGGAATTCTGTCCCTGGTGCTAGGGGACGATGGGGTCTGGAAAATCTGGCTCATCAGAACCATCCTCGAGCAGTTGGAGGGCTGCGAGGACGTCGACCATCTCCCAACCGTCCAAGAAATGTCGGACCGCGTGAACGGCAATCAGCCACAGGCGAACGGCACCAACGGGAGCCATGGCGCGATGGACGGGGTTGACAGTCACTTCGACTGCGTCGTCGTGGGCGCCGGCCAAGCAGGTCTCGGCACGGCAGGCCGGCTTCAATCCCTGGGGATCTCGTACGTGGTGCTCGACAAGAACGCGCAGATCGGCGACAACTGGATGACGCGATACGACTCGGCCAGACTGCACACCGCGCGCGAGTACAACCATTTGCCCTTTGACCGGACGTTTCCACTGCCGTATCAAGAATTCCTGACCAAATACGACCTGGCGAGAGGATACAAGGACTGGGTCGAGAAATTCGGGGTCGACAAGCACATCTGGTTCAACACGACGCTGGAGTCCGGGTCGTGGGACGAAGAGCGCAGGACGTGGACACTTCACATCCGCCGCCACGGCGCAGACGGTAATTCTTCCACCCAGACCCTCACCTGCCGCAATGTCATCATGGCCACGGGCGGAGGGGGACAGGTTCCCATCATGCCGCAATACCCCGGCCGCGATGTCTTTCAGGGCACCGTCCTCCATTCCGCGGATTACAAGTCGGCCGAGCGCTGGCGCGGCCAGGCCGGCATCGTCGTCGGCACGGCGAACACGGCCCACGACGTCGCGGAGGACATGGTCGAAGCGGGACTCTCGCAGATCACCATGGTGCAGCGGTCGCGCACGTACGTGCTGCCGTGCGAATACTTCAAAGTCATTTCGGACCGGTCGTACAACGCGCATGTCCCTACGGTGGATGCGGACAGAGAACAGTACTCGGTGAGGAGGGAAAGCCCCCCCCCCCCTTTTTTTTTTCCACTTTTGGTGTTGGAGCCACTTGTCAGCTCAAGATATACGATAAGCTGACCAGCAAGTCGCAGATGCCGTATGCGGTCACGAGGCTGTTGAGTCGCAAAGCCTTGCATGGCATGGCGGCCAAAGAGCCCGAACGGTTCGACGCTCTGGAGCGGGCGGGCTTTCGAGTCGAGAGATACGGCGACATCATGTGGCATATCTGTGAGAAGTTGGGCGGTGCGTTCGCTGGATTTTTTCCTGGTGCGAGGCTGGCATGTACAGCATGTGCTCAGACCAGCCAGTCGGAGATATCATCTCCTATAAGAGATCTCGATCAAGAAGCTGACTCGTAGGTGTAGGTCATTACATGGACGTGGGTTGTTCCGACCTGATTGCGAAGGGCAAGGTACGTTATCACCCTCTCTCGAGCACTCTTTACACAGCCATTTTCACACCCCCATTTGTCTCTCGCCATCTAACGTTTTTCTCTCCCCTCAACAGATCAAGATGAAATCCAACGCCCTCCCCACACACTTCACGCGCACAGGCCTGGCCTTTAGCGACGGCACCGAGATCCCCGCGGCGGTGGTGATCCTGTGCACGGGCTTCGTGGGCAACATGCGCAGCAGCGACGTGGCCCGAATCTTCGGCGAGGACGTCGCGTCGCGCGCCGACGACTTCTGGGGCCTCGACCCCGAGGGCGAGCTCCGCGGCGTGTTCAGGCGCAACCGCCACCCGAGCCTGTACTACGTGGGCGGCACGATCGGGCATGCCAGGTACTTCTCCCGCCATGTGGCGTTGCAGGTCAAGGCCGAGTTGATGGGCCAGCCGCTGCCGCTGTATGATGGGGAGAGGAGGCCCGAGACGGGGGAGGAGTCGCGAGGAGTGTCGGATGGTGGAGAGGCGTGAGTCGGAGCAGAAGCGAGAGACGAGAGAGACGAGAGATGTGGGAGGGAGTTCAGGTCGTCAATGACAAAATGGTGGATGGATAGGAAAGTCAGACCTGCCTTGTGCCTTGTATCCAACATACATGTTACTTTAATCACCATCTCTCCCTCCCCCTCTCTCTCTCTCTCTCTCTCTCTCTCTCTCTCTCTCTCTCTTTCTCGTATAGGGGGGAAAGAAATGAGTCTTGGTTCGATCTTGTTTTCTCATATAATGATATTTTCATGTCATAATATAATCATGATCTGTATGATCTGTAGAATATGATCGTCTGATTCCCCCCGATTCTGACCATACCTGGCGGCCTGCCCTGCCCTGATCTGACCCAACGTAGGTCCCCCAGGCAGGGAAGAGACCCCGTCGTCTTCTGGGTCTGAGAAGTCACTCGAGAAATGCCCAGAGATTATTCAGACTCTCACTCAGACAGGGGTGGGCGAAGATGGCGCTCTCGAGTTCGTCGTAGGTCACTTATCACCCAGACCGTAGATGTTAGCCAAAAGGGGACAAAAAAAAAGGGCAGATGGAGAGAATGAAAGAAAGAAAGCCGTGAGAAAAGGATAGAGGGACAGACAGAAGAAAGAAAGAAAGAGAAAGAAAGACTGCAACACTTACACCCGCCCAACATGGCCAGCTGGACCATGCTCATAATCTCCCCACCCTCAATCCCCAAACAGGCAAAGCCGAGAATCTCCTTCGTGTCGGCGTCGACCACGGCCTTCATGAACCCCTTGGTCTCGTCCATCTCGAGGGCGCGGGCGACGTACGACATGGGCATCTTGGCGACCTTGACGTTGCGCGGCGGGGTGAGGGCGCGGGCTTCCTTCTCGGTCATGCCCACACGGCCGAGCTGCGGGTCGATGAAGGTGGTGCTGGGCACGAGGCGGCCCTGGATGGAGGCGCGCTCGTCGCTGTTCGCGAGGGTGATGAGGTTCTGGCGCAGGACGCGGAAGTCGTCGTAGCTGACGTGGGTTTGCTGGGGGCCACCCTTGATGTCGCCCAGGGCCCAGACACCCGGGGCCGTCGTGGCTAGGTGCTCGTCGACCTTGATGAAGCCCCTGGCGTCGACGTCGATGCCGGCGCTCTCGAGGCCCAGGTCGGCCGTGTTGGGCGTGCGGCCCGTCGCCACCAGCACGTGCGAGCCCAGCAGCGACTTGGGCGTGCCGTCGCCCTGGGTCATGGAGACGACGATCTGGCCCAGCGTGACGTTGGAGACCTCCTTGACCTCGGCGCCCAGGTAGACGTCGATGCCCGCGCCGACAAAGATGTTTTTGATCTCCTCGGCCACGTCGGCGTCCTCGCGCGGCAGCAGCTGCGGGTGGTGCTGGATCAGGCTGACGCGGGCGCCGAACCGCTTCATCATCTGCGCGAACTCGCACCCGATGGCGCCGCCGCCGACGATGACCAGGTGGCGCGGCACCTCGGCCAGCTCCATGATGGTGGTCGAGTTGAGCAGGCCTTCGGTCTTGTCGGCGTTTTTGGCCTGCAGCGGCGCGGGCGAGCAGCCGGCGTTGATGAAGATCTGGTCGCCCGTGAGCGTGAGCGGGTTGGCCTCATCGTCGGCCACGACGACCTGGAGCTGCTTGGGGCCCGTGAACCGGGCTTTGCCCATGAGGATCAGGTCGAGGTTGTCGGTCTGGCGGATGCGGGCCTCGCTGCCGCCGCGGAAGCTGTCGACCATGTCGCGCTTGCGTTTGCGCACCGTCTCCATGTTCAGCACCAGGCTGGACCGCTTGAACTGGACGCCGTAGCCCTGGGCGCGACACGCCAGGTGCGCGATGCGCGCGCTGGCCACCATGGTCTTTGTGGGTGTGCACCCTTCGTTGACGCACGTCCCGCCCACATGGGTCGACTCGATCAGGGCCGTGCGCCGGCCGGC